TTCACTGTGAAAGTGTTTTCTGTGCATTACAGTTTGCCTTGTGTGTCTATTTGGTCCCCTGCGTATGTGTTATGGCCTTGTGGAATTGCTGATATGTATTCATGTGTTTGGCAGTCCTTGTCTTTTAGGGGAGGTCTGGTCCGTCTGTGAGTCCTATCATGCACCATAGGTCTGACCCTAAGACCTGTTACATGTAGGTCAGATGATTGAATTAACTGTTGTTTCTGTTTGCAAGTCCAATGCCTTGTACTTTAGTCCGACAATGAAATGTTATTTTTGTCCAGAGTCTGATGCTTCTGACGCCTCGTTAGTCCAACGTCAGACTTACGAGGCGTCAGAGCTGCCGTGTGATCCAGAATACATGAGCCTGCTGCCTCGTTATTGCCATGCTTCATAGGGTAATTTTGAAATTCCAGACTCAGGAGGCTTCGGACTTACAATAAAGCCCCATTCATAGATATTCTTCTTCTCATGTATCACTAGTGTATGTAGAGCAAGAAAATAGGTGTCCAAGATGCATGACAGCCCGCAACGTACTCGTGGACCGCAGAGTGCACAAATCCAGTCCAATTTTGCACTGAAACTGAACTTGTAATTTTCAGGCATCAATTTGACTGACTGAAAAAGATGGCATTAAAGCTTGAAGTTTTTTAAGCAGGTCCTAATTTCCTGCTCAGATTCCAAATTAAAAAAAAATTGACCGTGTTAGGACTTCATTTATAACTCATTAGCCTCTATGTTATACAGATGTATCTCAGGCCAAAAGATTCTGCTACTGGTACTTTGTTTTTTTACCAAAGGAAATCTGATAGGGCAGGTAACCACTGAAGCCTATCTCATCAATTAGCATGTCTGAAATTGGACTCTACCATTTCTAATCAGGAAGATATCCTCTTGATAGGCTCCTCCCCCAGAGTGATCTGTTCACTCTGATTGGTGGAGATATCCCAGTCACTAGATCAGAGGTCATCAAATGAAGGCCATGTGGTCTATCATAACTCCTGCTCCATTCAACTGCTGTTTGTGTTCTGATGAAACACAGACAAGTCTTCAATCAATACTTACAAACTCAACTTAAACTTGAGAAGTGTGCCCAATTTTGTTTGTCCTTTCTGTTTTGGAGGCAGATCACCAGAGTTGCATAAATAGATATTAGTTACTCCAGACTTTCTGAGATATTTTGGACTAGCAACTTTTATCCAGAAACTGTAGTTCTTTGGCCTATCTGAAAAGTATAATATTACTTATTAATATGTACCACTCAATATTAACTGAAAACTATCCGCCTTGAAAGCAGAAGCACCCCCCTCCTCGGTCTAGAGTTTCTCATTTTTTGGTAGCGATGCATCCCAGACATATGCATTTCATAGTCATTCGTGAACCAACGAAGTGCGGTTTGGTACCAAAGAGCCTCTGTTGCTAAGAAAATAGCACCTTCTCTTGGTCCAGCTCGAGGCCAATACTTCCTGAACTCTGCCAACTGTTCACTGCTGTGCTACACGAGTTAAATTTTTTGGATTTTTTGTTTTTAAATATTTAAAACGTGAATGTTTTACTCAGTTTGCACAGACAGCTGCCGAAAGTTCTTTCATAAACATACAACCAAGAGATATAGATTGGTAACATATATCCCAAAATTATGAAAAATTTGCTCTTGCATCTGTTGCAATGACACAGAAAGGTGTGAGTTCTAAATTTAGTTGTTAGATAAATACAGTTAAATATTTTAGTAGCGTGCCAAGTCTTAAACATGTAGCTGTCATTCCCAATAATTTATGTTTGTCTTGGCGGGTCATGCTTTATCACAGGTATCCCTGCATGAGGAAATGCAATTATATCCTGTCTTGATGAATGATGGGCGATGGTTTTTGAATATGTTGCCAAAAAAGCCACATCTTGTGCTTCATAAATTCTTTTACAAAAAGATATGAAATGAATTTGCTGTTTTACTTTCGCTGTACACTTTGCATTTTTTCTGTAATGCTTCGCATGATTTGAAAAAAACCCCAGAGTGACTTTTTTGTGAAACGTTGGCACAAAACAGTCGTCTGAAAAGCAGGAACCAGCAGGGGTCCGAGACACACTGCTGGTAGTTGAGTTTGTTGCTGTGGTTACCGGCTCTCTGAACTGGCAGCTGACGGGCCTCTGCCTGGCAGGGCTCACCAGATGTTGGCCTGGTTGATAGAAAAGCCAGGCTTTGGCTTTGCCAATGACTCGGGAGAAAAGAGAGAGTTTTTTTGGAAGATTAGTTATGGCCTGGTCTCCTTGATTCGGTCGCGCTGTGTGTGCCCCCGCGGGTATGGTAGCATTTAATAGTACCACAGATTCTGCGGGTTGTTTACCAAGAAAATGTTGTTAAAGGTGCCAACAGAACTAACCACAAGACAGTTTCGATAAATGATATTTGGTGACCACTTTGAGTAAATGCTGTTTCAGTTCTTGTTTCATCCCTTCCCTGGACAACGGTGCTGCTTTCTTGATTTGATTTCCATTCAGAAAGTCTTCTAAGTTTCTTACCTTTGCTTGAGTCATCAAGTTTCTCTGTTGAAAACATTGTTTTTAGTTAACTCAGAAAATTGGGTGTTTCAGAGATGTATAACATTTCACAGGTGACACAAAACTGAATTGCAAGACTCATGGAATGGCACAGATACCTTATATGTGTTTCATTCTAGACATTTTCATCAAATAAAGTTTGATTATTCTGTTGTAGTTGTTGACATAGTGAATATTTACGGATTTGGCTAAAATCCAGTAAAACACTGCCATCACTGCTCAGCATAGTTCGAGAAAACACTCACTGAGCATTTAGCTAAAAGCCTTGACTGTGTTTTTAAATTTTGCCCTACGGAGCCCATTTATGTTGAAAGGTGTTGATCACGTGTGTGAAGCATTAATGCATGAGGTTTTGGGTCTACTGTCAGGACCGAAATTTTTGCTGGCTCAAAAGATTCTGTATTCCCAGTAGAGGGATTGAGAAACCTGTTCCCACAAATGTCAGGCCCGGCAACTGTCGTTGGAGTAAGAAAGTCGCATGTCTCTGAGGTAATTGATGGAAGTACAAGATGGCCGGATTAGCAATTCCAGATCAGTGTGTGCATGTTCCAAGTTCTCCCCCTGAGGTTTTGCAGGGTCAGATATGCCTGGTGTTTTGAAACCTTGACAAAAATTTGTGACTTGATTCAAAAAGCACAAGTGTAAACATGCAGGTTAAGACAGTTCTTTGGGTCCACTTACAGTAAAAGGGCGCACTGAATTCTAACAGTTCTTTTATGCGTACTTTCTTTTTTTTTATATCGTATTCAAAATTGGTGTTGTAATATTTAGAATGGAAATTCCTGATATTAGAAAATGTACAAATTTGTAAATATTGACTTGAAAAACTATTTGGCTGATTATCAATAGTGTAGGCATACCAATTGGTAAATGGTACCTCTGGAGTTATGCAAGTCACAACATTTTTGCTCCTAGTGTTGTTAAGATATATGGTTCAGTTAATGTTAAGAAAGAAACTTTTTCTGTAAATAATCTGGAAAATGCCACTCCAGAGCTTTGTCCGCCCTGGACTTTATTTTCCGAGGATTTTACCGAGCCGATGGGGAAATGAAAAATGGGCAAATTTTACCACCGTCCGCACTTGGACTTTCAACATGGGGACTTTTACCAAGACGCATGGGAAAAGTAACCGAGCTGTCACTATAATGGCACATGAGGGCACTGCTTTGCATGAACTTTCGTGTTCACCCTTTGACCCAAGCATCTTTTACTAATTTCCAGTTGTGACAGGTCCTCCAATGATACATTGGTGGCCCCAATTAAACTTCCAATTGTTTCAGTACTAATATCTGCCATCATTCAAGAGATTCGAGAGCACGAAATCACTGCACAGCAACCAGAATTAAGCTTCGCGGTGTGTACGTGTACGTACGTCACGCGGACGCTTGCAATGAACATGCGCGGGGCTCGTGTGCGCCTGACTTTGCCAGTAAACCGGATGTACGCTTTCCTAAGCTGCTTTTACCTACTCGCACTGTCCGCACTGGACTTTCTGTCTCGGGAAAAGTGTCTCAGGAATTCTTCCTGGCCAGAAGTTGGCCGGTAAAAATTCCCGCGTGGCTCGGGACAAGTAACCGAGAGGAAGTCTTCCGGGGACGTCCGCACTGGACTTAAAATGGGCAAAGCACCCATCGTCTCGTTAAGTTTGCCCAAAAAAGTCCAGTGCAAACAGGGCTTAACAGTATGTTAATTCTGTGCAAGTTACATTATGCAAGGAATTTTACTTGAGAAAGCATCCCCTACAGGTTATGTGCTAATAGTGTAGGCTGTACATGTAATGAACGATAGAGTGTAGTGGTAAGACTTATTCTTTAGGTGAAAGATTAAGTGTTCTATTCCACAAAATAAAGCCAAATAGAATTGGACATTCAGTGGCTTACTGAATGAAATCTTCTTTCCATTCCACGAATGTGAAATACTTGAATAAATCCTCTGTGTGCACAAGTTGTGCTTCCACGCTCTCAACTTGGCATAAAAGCACGATTAGAGTTTGAGTTTTCACTATTACTGAGCTGCGACCCACCAATCATATAATTGGGGTTCATGAGGGTGTGGTTTAATTCACACAGGGTCCCCATGGTCTTGAAAAATCCCCCAACTCCTGGAAAAGTCATGGAGTCAAGATCATGCAAGAGTTATTTTCGATGGGCGGCTTTTTGATGTGGCAAGGGAGTAATGATATCTTTACAGGCTATGACCTTGTCAGTCAAGTGGCTGCGGCAGTCTTCCAGTTAATAATACCAACCAACTTTTCCCTGCAAAATAACTTTCAACATCATGGAAAATTTCATATTTTAGTTCTGGGAAGTCCTGAAAAAGTAATGGAGTTTGGTGTTCAGATATCTGGGGGAAACCACATACACGATATGGAGTGATGAAAAACTGGAGCAATATTCATTCAACCCCAGTTAATTGGTTAATCTATTTTGTCTCCCATGCTGCAGGCTCGCCCCAAGGGGGAGGGACTGACGCCCTACCAAGGCAAGAAGCGCTGCTTTGGCGAGTACAAGTGCCCCAAGTGCAAGCGGAAGTGGATGAGCGGCAACAGTTGGGCCAACATGGGCCAGGAGTGCATCAAGTGCCACATCAACGTCTACCCACACAAGCAGGTGCGTTTGAGTTGGAAAGACCGCTTCTAAAAGTCTAGGTGAGGCATAGTCATCTGATTTTGGCCATTTCACCCTTTCATCGGGGGGGGGGGAGTATATGGGTGGATCTATACACTCCTATCTCTTCTAGCTACATGTAGGATGGATTCGTCACACCTTCAGGCTGGGATTTGTGGGCAAATCCAAAGCCATGTTGGGGGAGGGGGGCAAAATTTGGAGGGGGCGGGAACAAACATTTTTTTATTTCCTCATGTCATCTGAGGCTTAAATCAAGGCAATTTTACATGCTTTGGAGGAAAAAGGAAATGATATACCCTCCAAATATTGCCTGATCCATTCTGTTTAAAATGACAATGAACTGACAATGAGCGTGACCATTTCCAATCATGGATGATAATCTCTTTTATGTATTCACTGATGGCAGTGTTTATGACTGTATTTTTGTCAAGGCGAAGCATGTGCTGCTTTGGCGATGTACATGTATGTGGAAGCACCGCTCCGCATTTGTGTCTGGGCCCAGTCAAATTGTAGCTCAAGCTTAATACTGCCTTTAATGTCTTCATCAGGGATAAGGCGCATCCCTCAGGCCACATCTTTCATGGGTCCAGTGTGGAGTAACCAGATACATGTGGGGATCCACTCTGTTACCATATGGTACCATTTTACATCCATCTCTAAATGATATAATAATTTATTGAAAGCGACCCCAAGAGTGCTATCATTTACATTGATATCAGTTTCATAATTGTCTTCCAGCATATGTGTTGCTGCATTTAATTATGCACCTTTTTATGCTCATGCTCAGTGCCACACAAACACAACTCGGCTCTGTCATGAAATTTTCCTCTAATTATCATTGCGGGAGCATACATGTAAATATTGTGTGCTTTGAAGCAGTTATCCTGGGAGGTGGATCATTTTTAACTGTCCTTGACAGGGGGATAAGTAGGAGTTGATACTGTTTGAAAACTGGAGAGAGGATTTCAGCGAAAGCCCTCCATTCAACAAATATGCACTTTCAACATCATACACCAGTAGTGTGTCTGCACTTGTTGGCACTGGTAGATATAAGTCGAAACAAAATACAATCAGTGGAAAGGTAATGGGTTCGCTTTTCTTGTGACAACAGCGCCCTCTAGAGAAGCCAGACGGTCTGGACGTCTCTGACCAAAGCAAGGAGCATCCGCAACACCTCTGCGAGAAGTGCAAGGCGCTGGGCTACTACTGCCGTCGCGTCCAGTAGGTCGCCTACCACCTCTTCCCCGGTCCCCCCCTCCCCCCCCCAAAGGATTTGACGCCTCTTCTGTCTCACTCACAGGCCCACAGAGAGACCATTTCCAGTTGAAACATCACTGCGAAACCTCTTGTAATCACGGCACACATTGTACAGCCAGCTCTTAATATGAACAGCACCCATACCGTAACCTACTGCTACTAAAGGGAAATTTGTGCATGTCAAATCTACTTTAGGGGAATTATGCCATTAGTCTGTATTTCAATTCTGGCAATAACTAGGTTCTTGTTGTTATCACAAGGCTGATCCCAGCAAACTGTTTGCAACAAGCATTGACTGTGTTTTGGTACAAGGTGGAAGACTTGTATTTGATAAATGTATTTATGTGTAATTCTGATTTGGAATCTGATGTATTTTTTTTTCTGGGTTCACGGTTGATAATTGATGTCCCACTTTCTTCTGCCTTGACCCTGTGAGTGGTTTGCCTAGCAAGGGTTTGAGAGTTGTTATGCTCAGCATGGAAACATTTTTGTTAAGCAAAAAAAAAAGTCTTCAGCTAAGATTTTGATGCACTTTGTAGCAGCTGCATGAATCTTGTGGGGGGTGCAGTGGTTGTTTCTCAGGATTTGGGAATCCACATCATCCAAAAGGGATGTGTATGCTCTGTAACTAACTGAAGGGGTTTGCTAGTTTCAATTGTATGAAGAGCCCTTCTATATTGCTGACAAACAAAAGCAATTGGAATTTCCCGGCCGGTAGTCAATTTGTGTTTCAGTGACGTCAAAAACCCATCATGGTCAATTGCAAGCATTTTCAAGCCTTCTTTAACTTCTTGTAGCCTAGCAAGAGCAGAATGCCTTTTTGGAAGTAGATCTTGTGGCATGCTGTATCATCCAATAAATTTCTTGGGTTTTTGAAGGCTCACTTGAAAAGATTCTTAATGCCAGAACTGATTCTGATTCACAAATAACTGATTTTTTCTCGAGACTTTATCATTGTTTATTCTTAATGGAAACCTCCTGGCTGTTATTGTGCATTTCTACTTTGTTGCTGCTCTCTTCCAAAACTGGCATCATCTGATGCAAAGACTGTCTTCTGAAACTGAACAAATGAAGAGTTTGGGCTTTCATGGGCATATATCCTGTGCGCCCAAACTGGGCTCGAGTTTTGGCCTGATCCGTTTCTCACAAAACTCTCAACTTAAACAGAACCTCAAAATGCAGTTGATTTGAGTTATGTAGGTTGTTAACGAAATATTTTTTGTTTTAGAACAAAAAATATGAAAGTTGTGAGAAACTTTTCTCGTGTTGGTGTAGCGCCTTGCTTCTTGCCTTGTGTATATATAGGTGTATATAGTGCCCATGGTTTGTTTTTGACCAATGCTACACGCTCAACATGCATTTCACAAATCATCACCAACCCCTCAATGAAGAAAATCAGTCAGTAAAAACCGGTGTGCGTTTTAAAGAATGGACAGGCAGTCTTATGAGGTTTGATGATTTTTAACTAACAAAAATTCAAAAATTTGATTTTAAGAGCTTTTGTGCTAGGCGGCTTTGTACAGGTAGAAGTCAGTGTGATTGTAGTAGAGTTAGGTTGACTTGTGTTTGTAAACAGTTCTAATCAGCACTATTTTTGTGAGATTTGTGTTATTCAGAATTTTTTATGAATTGTTTATGATGCAAGAGGAACATTGATGAAATCAAAATAAGGGCTTTTTATGAGGTTTTTAGTCAAGAAGTACAGAGATCTTTGAAGAGTCGGATTTGAAGACCACATCGACCTGACCGGAGTGTTTATTGGAGTAAATTGCATCTTCACTGTCTGTTGAACATTATTTCTCAGCCCAACAGGTTACCAGCCAATGTGCTCTGTGATGTCTGCTGCCCTTGGCAGGTACCCAGCTAAGGTTTTGCTTTGCACATCGCACCAAAATTGTTATACGTGTGGGTAGCTCTACTAAGTTGGGCCAGGGCCCTGCTTGCCCAAGACACGGCCACAAACCGGTATAGATAATGTCCAAACATGTTGATCATGTTTTGAATCATTCTCTGTCAGAGTTCTTTAAATCAAGTTTGTGTGGTTTTCAGCTCCGACAACTGTCGCCTTCTTCACCAGGGCTGGTATCAAGTTTTTCCCAGTGATAGGGAAACTTTCTGTCAATTCATCACGTTATATCATTCACTGGCTTTTATTTGGAAATGAAATCGATCACAAATGTGAAATCGGTGTGGAATGTATCATTTGTGGAACATTTGCCTCACAGTCAGTGGAAAAACAAACATATACAAATGTAGTGAATTTAGCATTGATTCATTTGGCTAGTTTTAGAGCGTTTCTGTCACCAATGTTGTATAAATTGAGTAAAAACCCTTGTGGTTCATTGTCACGTAACATTCATGCCTATGTATTCGCCGTTTATTTTTAAGTCTAATCAGTATCAACAAGCTTAAAATTAGAAAAACTTTTTTGTTTTTAGATTCGACATTGGCTTTAATATTTTTCAAATTGTATGCATATATTGTTCCAAAAGAAGGTACATGTATTTCGTAGTGCAAGTCGCACCAACATTTCTTTCCTAATGCTTTCCTCTGTAAGCCGTACTGGTACTTGATTTTTGAAGGAGTTTTTATCGATGGAGATTTTTTTTCAGTGGAACTTAATTCAAGCTCCGTTTATTTAGGGGCAAGTTAGGAGAGTTGGTTTCTTATCTATATACAGTCAGAATTTTCCACTAATATTTAATAAGTTGGGTTATGTGTGTATATTATATGAGTGTTACAATTTTTTCTTCTTATTTCTGTAGGATACAATAATGTGTGTATTTTAGCTCTCTGTTCTGATATTACTAAAAAAGAAAAAAAAAGTCAAGATTTATGGATATTTTTTTCCTGGAAACAAGACAAAGGGATATATGTATAAATAGTTAGTGCTAGTGGCTTTTTCAATGACAATGAAGTGTTTTCATTATAAAATTATTGTCATGACACCTTCGATGTTGTTGTTCTCACTTAAAATGGTGGTTTGTTTGATATATTTCATGTATATTTGTCGTACGTGCACATGTGTGTGTAGTTGAGCTTGAATGGCTTTGGTAAGTTGGGAGGGTCAATGAAAAATGCATGTACCTTAACAATACACCCATAAAACTGTTTTACAGTTTCACGACCAGCCCAAAACGATATTTCCGGGGTACTGATTTTTTTCCCTATTATTTATAAGGAGTTTTGCCGAATATCCACCACATCCGTTCAAAAAGGAACACTCATTGGCAGCAAAAAGTGCATTTCTCGGCCAGTTTTGTTATTCTCGTATCATGACACTTGCTTTAAAGACTCCTTGGTTTGGGCGAATCAAGTTTGCGTCTAATGTTGTGAAGATTTTAGACTTAATATTTCATGGACGCGATCATAATAATGAAACCTGTGGCCAGCTTCAGCATGGAAAACTGGTTCTTATGGAGAAGTTAAAAAGACACTCAATTCTTTACATAAGGGACTTTTTTCCGAGTTAAAACTGGTAAATGTGGGACAGCCATATTTCAGTGGTTGACTTTTTCTTGAATTCCGAAAATCTCGGGAAAGATTTTATTTTTAATTTTGTACCGTGCATGCAGTAGGCTTTAATGATTTATGAAGTGGGCCTGCATGTTCATTGATTTCATTGATGGGATTTCGGCCAGTCGGCCTGTATTTTGTTTCTCTCGATTTGAGGTTAAAAGGCGAGATATTTCAGTGTTTGCATTGCGATGTGTTTTTAAACATCTTGTAATTGCCAGCGGATGCCAATTGTTTGCCAATATCAAAATGTAGACACCAAATTTCTTCATGACTTGATCAAGTTATAGTTTGTAATTGATACAGATTCTCGTAGTAGAGATGTAGTTTGTGTCATGTTGTTTATCCGAGTTATTAGAGTAAATTTCATTGACAAGTTTACCGTATGTACATTTAGAATGAGCATTTGATAAAAGAATGTTAATATTTTTCTGTATCTAAGTACGATGTAGCGTTTTATGCGAGACACATCAGTGGGTATGTGTTTGTATTCTTACGAAAACTAGTCAACTCAACCGTGAGATTGGGGATGATGAGAGCCACCCCTGCTTCCAGAATAGTGTGTCTTGAAACAGTGATTTTTATCTTAACGTTTGGGATGTACTATTTGTGTTCTGTGGCGTGTTTGGAGGGGTGTTGTTGTGCTTCTTCTTTTCTTCGGATTGGGTTTAAAGTAGTTCAACTGCCGTCTGTTATATGCAGGGTATATTTGCTGTTTATAATTATATAGCCGACACCATGATTGAAAATAATTATTCATGATTATAAATTGTTATGCAAAACGAATCATGCGAAGACTTTTGGAGTTATATTATGCTGTTTTGGATAGTTCCAAACGGTCGTTTTTAACATGATATTTGAGTATAATGTCTTGCCATGTGCATACTATTGAAGGATTGCGGTGTTTACTCTATATATTTTGTTGCGTCACTAACTTTGCACTTATGGGAAGTTTTTTACACGTTTGTAAGTCGAATTCACGAAAGAAGTACATGTATAACTATTTTTTCGCATGGATGTTCACATTGTGGAGTAAAGATGTAATTGTTTTTTTTTTTTCAGAAATGGCTTTGAAACTATTTTTCTCACGTAGAATAGGAACTTGTAGGTAATTTCTGAAGGGCAAAAATCATGGCAGTACCGTAACAACAAGTGAAAGTCGAGCATGTTGTGGCATTTTGAGTGAAATTAGGTCTTCCAAAAAGCCATTGATGGTGCATATAAGTCAAATAACTTTATTTTACGTTGGTTACTCAAATCATGATCACAAGTGTAGAGTAAATCTGTTGCGTAGATCTGCTGCGTAATTCCATGATTTTCGTCGGTGTCACCGTCACTGCATTAAGTCAAGTGCAGGAAACCAGGCCTTGCTACATGCATACATGCATAAATTCATTATTTCTGAGGGTTACTAGAACCAAAGGAGCAAAATAGGTAGAATACTATCATGTCAGAACCTCACAGTCATAAAATCCAGGCCCAATTAATCGTCTCCGTCGTGTGACAGTTTGATTGAATTGCTCACGAGCTGGGGAACTGCGGCCGAATATCAATACCAGAAACAAGACATAAATCTCTCCCGGCCCGAATTTATGAACTTGATGAGTGATGGCCGGCAACGGTTGTTCAAGTTCTTTGCATATACAATGTAGTTATTGATAATAATGTACATGTACCCTACGTGTAGACTGTACATGTATAATATGCACGTGGCACCATACTATTAATCATATCCTACCAATAATGTGCTATATACATACAGTAGCCTATGTAAGAATATGTCAAGTCGTAATGTAAAGCCGAGCTACATGTATACTAGGCAACCATGCGAATTAAACTAATAAAGTGAGAAAGAGCTTCGCCTTGTAATGCGAGTACATGTACGAGCGGTGTCGTTAGTTTTGCACGTGGGCTTTGTGGCTAGTTGTTCAGTTCCTTTTAGTTGTGGTGGTGGGAGGGGCGGATCCGGGGGGCATCCCTGGCCCCCCAAAGACTAAGTGTCTTAATGGAGGTTACTCTATATGGACAGCCATTTTGTTAAGGAAATTGTTTCAGTGTAGCTGCTTAATCGTGACTCGTGCGATCAGTTAAAAGTTCACTGGGGACGCTGCTTGTTTTGCCCCCCCGGGTCAGGATCCGGCCTTGAGCAATAAAGTGTTGGATGTCAACCCTACTCTCTCGACTTGCCCCACGAAAGCACGATTCGTATGGATGACCATAGTTCATGGAAATATCCTCGATTGTTAGCATGTCTTTGCCTCAGACGCACGTGTATTTGGTTGTACATGCAGTGTGTTAGTTTTGGTGTTAAAGAAAGGCTTCCAGTTTACTAGGCCTCGTGAATTGTTCTGCTTTATACAGACGGTCAGCCTTAGCGGACCAGTCCTGGCTGGCAACAGAAAAATGTGAATGTGACGTCGCACTAAAGGAGAGATGTCTAATAGGCCGCAATGTCTGTACATACAGTAATTATCCGGTGTAAAACAACGAGGCCAATGCTTTGATCGGAGGTGTTCCACACACCTAGGATTTGTATAGGAAAAGTTATCAAACAAACAGCGTCTCACATTTTGAAAGTCTCGAGGCTGACTGCTTAAGCTTTCTTATATCAGTTCGAAAAATGGTTCCCATTTGGTATTTAACTTGAAGTTCACACCTGTGGCAAGTCATTCCATTCTAGATGACTAAGCGCTGTTTTTAATAACCGGAAATATTTTAATGGTTCAGGGGTGTCCCGGTTTCACCTCCGTTAATAGCCAACCGTAACGCAGGTTTGACATAAAAAATTACATCAAGAAGATGACTTCCAACCATGTCGGTCTCTTAAAGTAACCTATTTACACAAGTATGTCTCAACACTTGAATTAATTGGGCACTTTGTTAACCCTAACCCCAGGTTGTATTTAAAATCATATTGAAAGCGGAGGATTTGGGACGGTAGATTGTGCTCTTCTCTGTAATCGTTCCTTGTTTCTTCATAGAAGTTTAAGACGATATTTAAAATCATATTGAAAGCGGAGGATTTGGGACGGTAGATTGTGCTCTTCTCTGTAATCGTTCCTTGTTTCTTCATAGAAGTTTAAGACGATTTGGACTGAGTCACTTGTAGAAACCATTCATGGGAAAAAAGTGACTGTGTACAAAGTGGCCAAGTATGTTTACCGTTTTTAACTTGTTCGCCTGTTGGTCAAACCATAGGGTAGCCCAATAGTCAGTGCTGTTTGATGAATGTGTGAAGCTGTTATGCTAAGTGAGCGCTGGCCTGCGACTACGCATGTTAAATTCACACCCGAGAGCCCTCGGCCCAATCTCCAAAATGATTCTCCATCGCCAGCTTAATCTCATGGCTGGTGTGTTATTGTTATTATTACCAGAACAGGAGCCGAAAATAAATATACACTACAACCCCCGCAATGCATGTTGACGTAGAACCTAGAGATCACTGTGCGTGATCCGGGCATGGCAGCCGCTGAAACTATCGATGTTGTCTCTGTCTCTCTGGTGGTGATGTGCGCTCGAGGAAAAAATTGTAAAACCTTCCGTACATCTTGATACAAGGTTTGGAACACGGAAACAGCGCGCGCACAATATGAGGGGGAACATTCCTTTCCAAATACGGGCATTGAGAATAACCCAACCGACCCATCTGTGCTCCCATAGTGTACGTAGCCGATAACGCCGCCACGGCAGACGGCTGTGTTTTTCAGATCACATACGCTGTGCCGTACATGAACCGCTGAAAAAAATTGTAGCTCTTCATGTTGTGTGTGCGGACATGTACATTTTGTACACGTTGTTGGTCCTGGAGTAATTTGAGAACGATGGACAAACAGAATATGCGTGGTAGCTGTCTGCCAGCTGGGTTGATAAAGTGTTCCCTGTCTAGGTCTATTATTTTGGGAGGCTGTCAAAAGTGGGTGCCTTGGATTTAATTAGGCGTAACAGGCTTAAAGCAGCGAATACATGTTATTATTCTCCTATGCATATTCAAGAGGAATGCCTTGTTTTCATCAGAAAAAAATGGCGTAAATCTGTCTGCATGTCACTAGACTCGTGACCATGTACCAGAGATCTATGTAGGTGGACGTAGCGTATAGACCAATAAAACGTGAACATCAAACTGTGCTGATACATAGGCCCTATATGTAGCGGCGTTGTACAACTTCACTCGATACCTTCGTTCCACGACATGCTTTGGTTTTACTAACCGCCTTTGTTTTTTAATCTAAACTTTATCGGAGGTACTGGTCCGTCATCGAGTCGTCAGTTATGCGGGCGGATAAGCTGGCAGGAGCCTGCCGATGCATGGTCAGCGATTGGTTTGCCCCTTTTCAAGGGATAAATGTATTGATCTTCTTTTCGTCATTCAGCACATTCGGCGAGCATGCGCATAAAATTGCGCCCTCATTGAATATCAAGAAGTCGCATACATCGCTAATCTTAATGGTTTGAAATACGAGACTCCCAAACACACATTTCTGGCCTCTCTTTTTAAATAACTTAGAGGACTTGAGTCGAATTGCCAGTGCCTTCGACTATTTTGTTCCTAACTACATGTACCAGTATTTATTACAGTGTCAAACTTGCATTTTAACTAGGCCGCCATGACTTTGCATTGCATTTTGGGATACTTCGGGACGGTTACTTGGGCCAGTGGTACGTGTCCTTTAAGTAAGCGCGAGAAGTCTTGTGAGTTAAAATAGAAGTCGTGCTTCCACAAGTAAAGCAGAGGAAGGAACGTTGGTACGATCTTCCCATCCAAGGGTGCTGTGGATGATGGACGAATGCCCGCAGAATTTCGTGAAGGAATTCTCGCAAAGTCTTGTGGGTAACTTACTGCCTCCTAACATAGTAATAACAAAAATAGATGTATATTCCGCGTCCAAGTGTCATGGCGCGCACTAACATCGACCAGTGAAGAAAGAAATGACGTCATCCAGCGGTGAAGGCGGTGTGCACCAAACCACAGACAAATAAACCCATGGACGGACAGCTGCAACCTCGACTTCATGGGCTGCATGCGCGTTCCTTCACTAGTTAGATAGCGCAAGGCATGGTGGAAACCAACATGGCGCGGTAAGATCGTACCCATGAGAACGAGGTTGGGACAGAACAACGGCGGGGTACCGTGGCCAAGACAGCACCCTACTAAATCCAAAAGCGTGGGCATCTTCGACTCCATGGGCTGGAGAATTCGAAAATGACTGTTTTGTAAGTGTGACGTCACTTCAGTTTAAACTACACCCACTGCACATGCACCCCACATAGCGTTACATGCATTGATCGCCATTTAATGGAACCCTGAACCGGAAGTTAATGCGCAACTTCAGTGATCGTCCCAAGGGAGCCTGCAATCGTGGCGCGTCTGCCTTTGTTACGAAGTCACTTTCAAACCGGATTTAGAATGAATATGATGTAACGTCAATCGCACGCGTCTTTCAAAAGCGACACGCTCGCGTCCCTGTATTCTCCTGCACGAATTATGCACGCGTAAATCTGCGTCATGCGTGAACACACTGAATGAAGGCGTAATATATATGTCCCCAAAAAGGGTTTGTTCGATATGCTTACACGTGTAAGTCAAACTTACTCAGAGCGTTCGTTTAGTCATCACGTGATCTTCGTGCCTGCCCTGCGCGTCAGCCACCACTGTCCCGGCCCGCGAGCGCGTCTCTCTGGAGGCTGCCCGAGTGTAATGACGTCACGGATGGACTGTTCGAGCATGGACGTGGTGGAACGTGGCGGGGACTTGACCTTTTTCCCAGAATGCCTCAGCGAATACACTGTAGCGTTCGATTAGCCTCATTTCTAGGCTTCCTTGCTAATCGAACGCACCGATAATTAGGGTATTTAAATTAAACAATAATGGACCTTCCAAATAAGGCAGGCGCATGCGCATTACTACCACTGGTTGGCAAAGTTGCTTAAATCTATGACGTAACAATACAAAACCCCCTGCGTGCGCGACTGTGAGCACATACACGCTGTTTCTGCTCTAGTATATAGTGACTTGAGTGCCAAACTTAAAGGCGAGGAATTTTTACTTTCCTATTTCCTCGGGGCATCGAAAAACTTCTCTTAGTTTCAAGAATAGCGTGATGAAATATCGGACAAAGGCTGGCATACGGTTTTATTGACCTTCAAAGCGCCACTAGGTTATGGTTAGAGAGCAGCTCCCCAACACTGCCGACGGCCGGTGATGACGGCGATGACGTACTTGCCAACCAGTGGTAGTAGCATGCATGCGTCTGCGCCTGCCTAATTTGCATATTTCATGGCAAAGGTTCATTCACTCGTATCGTCGGTCTTAGGAATGTACACAGAGTTGAAGAATTCCAGCCACAAAATTCTATGAAGCATTCCTCCATGTATGAAGCCATTTTTCGATTGTGAAAAATTCCTCTATTTAATTACTAGCCCATGCATATTTGAAACAACGCAGTTGCAACATTTGAAAAAACCAGATAGCAGCACCAAGAGTAAAAAAAGGGAACGTATTTTGAGAGCACAATCACGTATAAATACAACAATCTCAAGCGCAATTCGCACTTGACGCGCTGTCATCCATCGTTTCGCTTATTGCTTGCCCACGCTTTTCAAAATCACGGTTGTACGTACTGGTCACGGTGGTCTGTGTGTTTATATGTCTGTGATGCAGACTCGCTGTCGCTTTTGCCACGTTCTTGCCCTTGGTCAGCAGAGGTGACTGAAGCCATGTTCGCCACTGTTAACAAAATTCGTTTGCGGCATCACTTGAATGACCAGCGAGCCAACTATCACGTTTGTATTCGTCACGATGAAATGGTCGTCGGTGGCTTAAGTTGATATAAAATACAAAGGAATTGCAAGGCGAGACTTTTTTTTAACACGTCTGTTTCTTTCACATGGTTTTGAGGGCGCTACGTCACAGAAACAGCAGCGTAAAAGAGGCATCACGGCTCCACTCAGCATTGGGTAGGCAGCGGCTGGGCGCAACTTTTTAATGAGGGCGCTCTTTGTACAGGGTGTCCACGTAAAACGTATACCGAGATAAAATTACTATAGTAGCGACACTACTTTATACATGGGAAAGAGAACATATCTCTAGAAAGGGCAGAATGTCCTCTTTGCAATGGTATACAGCTTGTGATGTTATTGACACAGATGAGTGAACAAACTAGACCGGTGTTAAGGGTACTGAAATCGGCACTGTGACAAGTTTGCATACACCCTGTATAACCGATGTGGGAGGCCTGAGGCACGCCTTGTTCCAACAATCCCCAGTCTCTTACGTTGGGTCAGGGAACCACTGCGATCAAAATTAAACCACTCTCAAACCACCAGATTCAGAAAATGTCGATTATTCTTAAGAATGTACAGTAAGCGGTATATTCATTTTGAGATTTAGATGTCCTACAAGAAAAAGTTCCATACACGGACATCACTATGAGAGCCCGTGCAAAAACCCTATTAGACTGGTCTGAAATGTTGTATTTTTAAGTAAACACTCCAATATTTTCCCTGCCAAATTTGACATTTGAGGACGTCATCACTTCCTGATGACTTGATACACAACTTCAGGGAAATTTTAGTGAAGTCCGTGCATGAAACTCTTACCGAGCCGAAAACTTACCTATCAATAATTTCCAGATGATCCAAAGGCATGTATTTTCCAAACTGAATAATTTCCTACGATGACCGAGGGATTTCGATGAGTACACATGTAATTCCAGGGTTGTAAACGTATTCTTCATTTGAAGAGACATTGAACTGTGGTTCCCAAATTGGCCACTCACCAAATTTGCTTGCTGGTGGTGTAGAAAGTGCCCAACTTCAAGTCCGTACAGTCATATCGATAAAATTTAATATCTTGAATCCAGCATATTTCCACAGATAATATACATGTACATGTTTATCCATTTGGATATGTGAGGTAATGAAGACAGGGTGCGCCCTACGATCCATTTATGGCGCCGACTTCATGTCACTGAGTGTGAATTCTTACGCAGCACCCGCGCATGCCATGTGAACGAAAAAAAAGTCTTGCATCCAGTCCTAGAGTTGCACAATTAACGACTAGGGACAAGAGTAAAGCTTTTCGGAACAGGCAGATGTACATTACATAGCCAACTCTGAACAATGGATAGAATTCATCTCACGGCTCTAAGCATTAGTTCCAACTGTTTTGTTCACTTGTGTAATAGACAATAGAGGAGGGAGGGACGCCGTTTAAATCGGTACAACGGCTCAACAGGTGGAGATTCTTTGATTGAATGGACTCGAGCCTCATTGGAATCTTTTGGCAGTCACTTTTAAAAAAGAAAAGACAGTAGCTGAAAATTAACGGAAAGTTAACAACATGGATTCCGAAATTTTCGGACGATCTCGGAAGTTCTTGGAAAAGGTTTCTCCTGAGAGGAAAACACAATTAAAATTGCATAGCCTGATTATGATAGCTATCATATCATACAACATATAAGCGCAAAATTACAGCGATTCGGGGGTACATTTTACAGAAAAGATAAATCTTTAACGATAAATCTTTAACTGCAAGTAGAATAACATGAATTCATTGGGGCAACGTTTTGGTAATTTAGCCTTTGAAATTTGAGCAATATACAAATAAGCACACAAAATTCTAATTATTATATTTAGCCAAAGTCCATTTGCTTCTATCGCAAATATGTGTCCAAAAATTAAAGATTATTCCGAAATCGCAAAAGAATTCTGCTTCCATCTTTTACTTCTAATGCCATCAATTTTAATAAACAAAATTTGGCTCCAATTTGATGACAGCAATGTGTTTTCATTGTGCTTCGTAAGAGAGTTTTTGAACTACTGTGGACTGATTTAGCAAAGTCACCAAAAGATCGTTGGATCCACTTGCGCTATAGTATCCACGAAAACTACTTCCACTGGTGATTTAAAAGCAAAGAAAAGGAGCATACGCACTGGCTCGAAACGGTGCAGGCTAGGGCTCCATCCGAATCCGTTGTCTAGAGCTAGGTCTGGGTCTTCACTCCATTGAAAATACGTGGAGACGCGCAGACAATGGACCTAGCCGTAGCTCTGGAATCCCGTTTCGGACACGGCCTTAGTTTCATTAGAAACGTTAAACTGGCACTTAGAGTTTAACACATTTCTAAACACTTTAATACCCACTTTTTAACACTTTTTGTCCGCGACACGTGAAGATCTTTTACATTGAAATGTGTTTAGAATTATGTTTAAATGCTGAGCGGTTTTTACAGTGCTAAGCGTGTACCACGGAAAGGCGTTTAGCATTTAAATACGTTCCTTTTAATGCAAATAACCGAACATGTAGTGGGTTACGAAGAAAAAGAAGTAAGAATAAGTAAGTACAAAAAAGTGTTTAAATTTGAAGTGCCTTTTTTTACAGTGCAGTTCATATATTACTCGCTTCGTCGGTGGCTTCTCTTTTCAAAGTCCCATCTTTACTAACGACCGTCTCTGCCGTAGCCTCACAGTCGATCACATCGGTCTTTTTCTGGAGGTTGTGTCTCTTGATGTACTCGCGCAGAAAGTAGATGGTGCCCATTTTGCCGCACTGAAAGCAAAATAATAACACACCATAATTAGTTGTATTCCGAAGGGAAGGTGTATGATTAATACGATACCTAATTTGTGCGTCAGACTTTCAAACCAGTTGTAAACCACAAGATGAGAACCCCCCCAAAAAAACAGACTGTCTTCATGTGTCGGCCATCTTGAATTGAACGCGAGGTAAAACTTTCGTTTTTGGATCCTGAGAGTAAATAACAGCGATGAAATTAGAGTTCATACAAAGTCATGCCAGTTCTTGTTTAGAATATTCAAAAAGTTTTAATAAATTATATCTAAAATGTTTTAAAGCAACAAAAAACACTGCAGTTGAGTTTGGAACCTAAAATAGTCTGACCCCACCCCATTTAACAGATGTTACGCTAAATATAAGAACAGGACAAGGCGGCTTCCTCGTGAAAATCCCATGATTTGCCTGGCTTAAGGCTTTATTTTGCCGATAGTCCGCGACTGCTTGCGTTCCTTGAAAACAATGGAGACAGCTGAGACAACAGATATGTGTTTACTTTAATCTCACCTGAATGATATATTTTCTGTCGTCGGGTTCCATGAGAAAATCAGTGCTTCCCAAGTATCCTGTGTTGATTCCAATCGTTCGGTCGATGTTTTCATTCTAGTGGAGGTAAATCATTGATTGTTTAAATTTAAAGTACAGTGCTTAGGAAGATCTACCCCCCCCCCAAAAAAATCCTTTGAAATCGGAATTACAGATGACAAACTGATTCGGAGATGGAAATGATAAAGAGAAAATTGAGGAATTCATGGAAAAGCACAAAGAACTTTTCAGATGTGCCATTTTCGCTGAGCTGCATCCCGTGTGAAAATTGCGCTTCATGAAAACGATCGTGTTGGCCGTAAGGCGCATGACCTGCACGAATCAGTGACAACCGAATCTTCATGCGCGAGGCTGCGAGTCATGCAAGGAACTCCAAAAGACCACTTATCACGAGGGGGGGGGCAAAATTTCACCTGAAACCCTCCCTGCGTCGGTCGTCTCCAAAACCTATCTGCGCTTCAGTTGTTTTTTTTTCATTCAAAAGTCAAAATTGATACCTTGAAAGATATGCGATTCGCATTGACCACTAAGGTTTCTACGAGAGCCGAGAAGAGACCCGTGACATGACTGAAGTCGGCTTGTCGCTCAAAGCCCCGCAGTGCTTCCATCATGTCCACGCCCTTTTTCTCGGCGAAGGCCATCAACTCGTCGAACTCGATCTACTCGCAGAAAAAAGGAAAGTTTGTTATTCCCCAAAGATTATTTCCAGTGTCCACAATAAGTTAAGGTTTGTCTATATGTACTGAGCTTATTTACTAAAGCGTAATTGGCGACACAAGTTGACGTCAGGAACAAAGGTCATCGTTCGTACTCCTGCCAGTTCGCGTTCTGGCTAGAATTTTTTTTGTATTTCAAGCATCTAACTGAGTCTATAAAGTGGACGGATCTACACTGACTTCTCCGTTGCCATTGATATCCAGAAGGTCGAAGATGGCGTCTGGGTTGCACGAGTCACTACCGAATAGCAGCTTGGCGTCTTCGCATGTGAAAGCTAACTCAGCAGCCTGGAGCAGATTAGAACAAGGGCGAATCACTCGGGGTCAGAACAAAATTTTTCGTAGAACTTTCAGGAGATACACCACAATCGTGTTAAAATGTGTACTGCAAACCTGCACCCAATTTCGTAGCTCTAAGAAGCCCCCGTATAGAGCAATGATTCCAGACTTACTCCTTCAAGGGACTCCTTGAATTCTTGTCTGGAGATCGTCCCACTCTGGTCCTTGTCGTGTCTGTTCAGGACAGCGACGAACTTTGCCAGTGCCTGCCTGGAGCTTAGCGACAGTCTCGATTTCTCCTCGTGCGCATGGGACCTCTTCCTGGAACGAAGTATGGAAAAAGAAATCAAACCGACGCCCGCGAGGTTGGATGACGATTGAATAAACGGTTCGACTACAGGGGGCCGTTAAGTACAATACCCGTAATTTGACGAGATTAATTTGTAACCCTGTTCAAGGATAGACTGAACTGTAAGCTTAGTGCAGAACCTGACAACATGAAATCAGTCAGGGGCCAATACTTTACGATGACCATAAAACGTACGGTAATAAGAACAAAATGTCAAGTTTCTCACACAATTTGTCCTGTTATATATATTTTCAAATAAGTACAATCGACTACCTGCTTCGTTTAGTATCTGGTAAGGCGATGGTATCCTCTGCCTTTCTGTGCGTGTTGGCGCGTTCTTCTAGAGCTGTCTTAAACGATTCGGCTTCGTTTTCGGAATACTGGAAAGGCAAAAAGCATCGGTAAAGTTACTTCATCAGTGTACTTACCGTACTCTGATTCAACGCATCATCCTATGCGTATGTAGATCACGTCAATTCATTTTAACTCAGGCATGCAATACAATAAATGAACGGCCTGAGGGTTGACGATCGAACATCAACACTAGCAAATGAGCTAGTGTGGTATTCCAAAAGGTAAGGTCTTTCGACAGCAAGCACGTCTGATAGGGCAGACCTAGTGCGAACGTACTGCAGCTGTTCCCCAATGACCTCGGAAGCGCCCCATTGGGGCATGCGCTTTTGGAACACCGAACTGGCTCATTTGGAAACCCACCAGCACTGCTCCAATCGTTTTCTCGTTGTTGCCAGCGAACCTGTCTGATGCGATGCTAAGAGCGTCGTGAAAGCGTCTGAGAAAACTGTTTTCCTGATCCAAGGATAAGTACCAGCCTAAAGAAATAAATCGATAGTTTCTCAGGGAGGACATGCATGGAATTGTATAAACATAGGCCTAATACGGTGCGTCTAAAGAGTACACTCTTATACATGCACCGACACATTTTCTATCGTTATCCTCAAAGAAAAGCCAGAAAGTTTAAGACTCGCGCAGCACGTTAACTTACCAAGATGGGAAAAGTCACATTGTTGTGGGCTTTCGCAACAATTAGGCATGCGCGACACAGCAACAATTTCATTGGTCGGAATATTAAACACTCTCAAACAGAAGGGCACGGGGTTATCAAAATTGTAAACACAAAATAGCTGTTCTGACATAACAAAATAGAAGCGCAGAATACTTCAGGCTTACCGTCGAAGCAGTCGATTGGGTAATTGTGGAGAACGCCACCGTCTACAAATACGTCTTCTTCCTTGGACATTACCTTGTATCTGATGGGCATCATAAGACCTTCCGATCAGAATGAAATAGTTGATGACACAGTGAGATGTCAACCGTGGAGCAGCATTTTTCATCACAGCACAACTCTCAGAAAAACGCCGCTGAAATCCTGCCATCGACGATGCAGATCAGCTAGGTTTGGTGCTCGTGTCGTGCATTTTGCGACGAGAATGTTATTTCTCCCGTGTGAGATACGGTGCATGCGAAAGGACCCTCCCATCTAAAGAATTCTGGGTGTTTCGAGTTGGAACTAACGAGGTTTTAACACAAGCTCATACGGTCATGATCATATTCTGCCCTTGAATATCATATATCTTTGATGATAATATTTGCATGAAGCTGCGGTATGGAACTGCACCTTGAAAAGGCAAAAATTGCTTGAGTTTTTCTCAGGAAGTGAGGCATCTCACAGAATGACCCGAAAACTAACCAGATTTAATTTAGTTTTTAACAGATATCCAATAAATCTTGAATGGTGATGATACTGAAACTGTTCAAAGGCAAAGCTTGCTTCGTATCAATTTCAACTCGACACCCACAAACAATATCAGGAATACCAAACTTCCATCTCCCTGCTCCGTGGAAAACCTGCGGGGCATAAGATTGCGGCCAGAGAAGCGATAAAACCTACCCGGCACTGCGGTAGACGCACGAATAGCCAGGGCTATCGGCATGTCTGGCGTCGTCTTGACGTGGAGATATTCAGCTCCCAATCGATTTAACGACACGGTAGTCAGGCACAACTCCCGTCCAGTCTTCTGATAGAGCTGATGAGTAGGATGAAAACAAAACAATAAAAATACCGAAATCACTGATAACGGTTAATTCACATGAACAAAAACTGTGTTTCGCGATAACACACTTTTCTAAAGAGGTTCTTGCCACCTTTCTTAATTATGTGGACATGTTTCATTACTATTGTCAAGACTATTATTCAGGGACAGTGTTTAGTAATAGTGAACATTAATTTGTTACAAATCGGACACGTTATGTTAAAAGCATGTTTTACAGGGTAACGGCACGCTTACTTTTCAAAGCTAAGCAATTTTTAGGATTTTAAACAAGTGTCGATTTTGAAATTCAAACATCACGACCACGAAAAGATGTAAAACACTAGAAAAGAATACAGTGTCAAATTTAAATTGAATGCAAAATTACTGTTATTTACTTCCGGGGACGTAAGGTTTGGATAATTTGCCAAAAATTATGTAAATACGCACACAAGTTTCCTTCATGAACAAGGCTGTTATATATAACCTGCCCCCTCCACTTTCCAATTTTAAACATCTGGAAACTCTCAGGACCTGTTCCTCATCGAAGGTTTTTACCTGCTGGAATGTTAGCTCTGGATTGCCAAATTTATTGCAGATTCGCTCGTGGAAATATTCCATCAACTTATTGGCAGGATGGGCACCCATCTTGCGGTAGAGATTAAAGGCTGCCCCGATTAGACCAAACCTGGCATCTATTTAAAAAATAATAATTAATATCAATCTTTACCAACATTTGTCTGGACCTGGAATATGCTCAAGAGTAGGTTTGCTTGTTCGTTTGTTCTGACAATTCAGTGGACCATTTGTGGCAAGTTCATTTTTGATATGGGGCTTTGCACACTCACAGCTTTACACACTTTGCAGTCCCCTGAATATTTCACGACAAAGGCACACATTCAGCACAGCAAAGGTTGCATGCAAACTTCATATTAAAGCGAAAGGTCCTCAAAATAGTGACGATTACTGTTACGGACGAAAGGCCTTGAACCAAACCTTATAATGTGTGCATGATTTAATGTTCTGCTCTAGAACAGCTTATGGGTTTAGCGTTGAACCGAGCCTTAATCTTATACCTACAGCGGGGATCCGTGAATCCGGGACTGAAACATTTTTGGTCTTACCCGTAAACAAGGTGCTCACGTTGAAAGAGAACATGTCCTCCATCTCGAAGGAGTCGTAACCAAGGGCAACGAAGGCGGCCATCATGGCTCCAATGCTGGTCCCAGAAAACCTCTTCAGGTTCTGGGTAATTCCCACCTCTTCCAGAACCTGAAAGATAAGTACGATTTTAAGTGACGAATACTCCACATCCATCGGGTCGCACAGACGGCTGTTTCTCACAGCGACCAACAGTTAAACTCCAGCAGCAAGAGAATCTTGTTCAATGTGGCAATCATTTCCGCACGACACTGAGTCTTTTGTGCAATATAATAGTGTGAAAGCAAGTGGTGTACCCGGAGATGGGAGGTAAGAGTCTCCCTGGAGACATGTTATTATTTCATTTTCCTAAATAAATAAATTACTTGTTAAGAAATTGAAACCACTGAGACTTCCGAAACGGCACTACCACCTTCAGGGGGAGGGGAGAGTTGAATTTCCTACGGATGAAAAAATGTCATTAATTGTCATTTTTCAAAATCCAATTTGCCCCCTCCCCGCAAAAGCCCCTACACACGCCACTGTAGAAATAATTTCATGTCAAAACACCACGAGAAGTTTGTAAAAGTTACTAAAACGTTCCCAGCGGCTGCGTAGACCTATAAAATCCATTGCGTGCGCTTTTATACAGTCACAGACGGCCTTCCGGTGTGGAAATGATAAGGAATCTGAGCTTAGGCCTAACGCTGACCTGTTAAATTTCTTTTCATGGAAACTATAGCCCCAATGTGTACGTCAATACGCAGTGTAAATCTGTGAACTTATTGTTTCCGTCTTTGAAAGACGAAAGAATGCTGTATACATGAACTTCACTTCCACTTCAAGCAAAGTCCAACAGTCATCATGTGAGAGTCGCCTCAAACGTTCTGTAAGGCCCACATTTCTGAGGCTTCAAATGAGCAGGCTTGGCGCGGCATACACTTTTGTCAGAACTGTTCATGACTATACTGCGTCTCTCGCTCAGTGGACTATTCACGGCCGTCTACGTGAAACCTTCAGCCGAACACAACATTTTGTTCACGCACACTGGCCCATTTCAACAAGGACTGACCTAATATAAAAAACAGCCCTTCATGAATTATAAGGTGACCAAGGCTTTCGGAGGTCAAGAGGGTCAGGCGCCGTATTCAGGCTGTCAAGTAACTACATGTACGGTGAATCATAGCTGTCAGTCAACCTAATGCTTTTGTTTTGCTTTTCAAGCAACCTGTGTCGAAGGTGTACGGCTTAAACACTGTAGTGTGGTTCTCAAAATTGGCTGTAGGCTGAAACAAACACTTAGGACCTAACCTCTTTATCCTGGAAGTCATGGTGAAGTTTATTTTTAAATTAGATTTTTTTCCCTGCCACTTTTCTTAAGTGACAAACTATGCAAGAAGGCAATCTGTCAAATCAGCAGTTCTGAAAGGTCGTCTGAGGTATGGTCCGAGCACCTCCCGTGTTTTGAACCATGCCATTGAACTAAAGACGCGGCCGCAAACTTACCCTGAGCGCACCGACGTAGGCCAGTCCCTTACTGCCGCCCCCCTGCAAGGCAAGGTTCTCGAATGGGAACTCATAGCCCGCCAGTTCTTCGCTCTCCTCCGGGGTGAGTATGGGTTTTCTCTTAAAGTGGACCCTGATGTCGTTCGTTCTGCTCATGTTGAAAGACTGTCGATCGGGGTAGTTCAGGCTGCGCGGACTGACACCAAGGCAAGGTTAACCTTAACAGTGACGAAATCGCTTTTACAGGAAACACAATTAACGACGGATTCACCTGCCTGCCGACAGTGTATTGTATGTACATGTACATGTACACTGTACAGTCATGGAGAAATGTGTAGTCAACCAAGGTCAACAGAGAACAAAACGCATGAAGGTTAATGCACCCTATTCTTGTAACTCGCGGTTCAAAGGGCTTGGTCAATGATTGGAGTGGCGTAAATCTGTGTTGGACATTGGGGGATGGGGGGGGGATGACTTGTCCGGCCATGAAAATTTAAAGGGGGGTACCATATACACTATACATGAATGGGGGAAACGTTCATGATAAAGATGTACAATGTACATCTGTAATGTATATCAACTTCATGCAGAATCTTACATCAAAATGGTACATTTGTGGCTTTTTAAAAATTGCTTTCCCCTTTTGTGATATTGCTAATATTCTAGTCATTTGGAAATCCTGAAAATTCTTCACAGTCGACATTTTTTTTGCTCATCACAAAAAAAGTTGGGGGGGGAGGTGATTCAATAGCACACCCCCCCCAAAAAAAAACAAGCGGAGGGGAGATATATATACCCCCATCCCCAGGATTTACGCCGATGATGACGGGTGCTCATGTGGGCTACATCGATATTTTACGCAGTTATTCAAAAAGAACCTACGTGTTATATGGTTGAACACACCGATGCGAAGTGCAGTGTACGGAATGAAACAGCCACGCGCAGTCCATCTAACCATGGAGGTAAAATCTAACTAACCAGTCACCCAGTTTTCCCGCGTACGTGTCCCGTATGTGTACCATTTCTAATGGTACATGTACTTAAGCAGTATCTACTGCTTAAAAGGGGCGTCACAGAGTCAAGGGGGGGGTATTGAGCCTCCTCACCTTATCATCCGGTTAAATCTGAACCTATTCTATTGTTAATGTATCTGTCAAAAATGTTCAAGAATTCCGGGCCGTCAGCCCTGATAAAGCCGGGTGCGGAATGTGTCCTCCCCTCGATATTTGCTCTAATATTTGGCGGAGCGCATTTTTCCGGGCCGAGTCTTCAGAAGTTTATCTCAGTAACAGTCATGTGTCAAGGTCGTTCTGACACTGATTTCAGGAAAATCGAACATATCATTATCGGTAATTTTTTCCCGAGACAAGCCAAATAAATTTTGACACTTTCGTGCTCAGTACATGTGAGACCAAAACTTCACATCACCACAAACAAAACCCAATGTTGGATTGAATTCAACCGTTACCAATATACTCATAGTGAATGTCTCTACGAATATCCAAAATTTCAATAAGACAGGGCATGGAACAATCAAGAACTTCTGCGACGCAGAATCAGTCCCCCGTCTGTGAGATGATCTGAATAATTCCGGCGCTATTAGGGTGGAAAAATTGTGCACAACTACACTCGTTGTCAATATACAATTACGACCACATTGGGATGGAATCAAGCTTCACTGAGAAGACTCATGTTCAACCTCGTCCCACAATCTGGTTTGTTGACGCACAGAACACATGGCCACCCCCAGGTCAGAACTGCCTCTTGGATGCTACTCCAATAGAGCGGAAATAGGCATAGAGTAAACAAAGCATTGCTTTAGATAACTATGGTCTGTTAAAAAAATCTCCAAGGTGACGAACAATAATAAAAAGTGGTGCAAATATTAAACATAAAAAAGCAGACAACTATCTTTCTTGCTGCACTTTTATTTACCTAAGCGTAGCGAAACTTTAATTTATAGATTAAAAAAAAAAGACAGCACACAATATCATTACCAAGATCGTAACGGTGATGAAACAACATGCACTAGAAAGTACCTCCTGTTGGTCTGAGATGGTTTTGAAGTCAAAAAGACCGTTTCGATTTGGCCCAAATTAAGTATAGAAACTGACAAAATGCTTACATGCAGACAAGTGGAACTTTGGATAGTTCAGCCGGAAATATCCCTACAAATAAGACCAGGAAGTAGTCGAAGCCATTTTGTAAAAATACAATTGGCAAGGAAGGCACTATGTGTACTTAGTGTTACATTTTCTTCAGTGATAGGACCGGCAGATATTTCCAAGTGCGTCTGTCAGAAGGGATGAATCTGTCATTAGAAAATGAGTTTAAAAACCTCTATTATCTACACACTTGAAAATCTACATCTTAAAATCTGTTTTAAAAGCTCACAAATGGCTACTTCATTTTATGACCCCTAAAAAACTGGACAGAAGCTTAATATAAATTTAACTGACCTAGTCCAGAACTGCTTGGGTCGAGGAACCAGTCTAAAAGAGGGCCACCTCCATTCTATCAACTTGTTGATTCTAAGATCTGTTCCTTTTAATTATTTGCTTTCTATAGTAAATTCCTCAACGAAAGCCTGGAATCCACTGATGTGTGATTGTCTTATTCAAATTGGAAAGGTGGAAAAAAGGCAAGATACTTTTTACCTTAGGCTCTCCATACCCTTTTCTCGACGTAAAATAACTGTATTGATTTGCTTTAATAAACCTTTTGCGAGTTCAATTTGAATAAAACCTGGTACACTGAGTTCTTTGAATTCACGTGAACTTACCAATATGAATTCTCCATACAAAGGACACCGTTGCTATACCTCGCGATTCGGGGCAAGCTTTTGCTTAGTTACATGAGAGACGCGTTGCACCAATGCACTGTTTTCAATGGATAAGAAGGGCACAAAGGAACCAGTCCATTCCAGAGATGGTGGTCGCTATGCAAAAGCTTGCCCCGAATAAAATGGTACAGCAACATCGTCTTTAGTCTGGGGAATTCAAATTGTTACGTTTATGATCAGATAGCTCAGTGTGCCAGATTTTATTCAAATTTATCTCGGAAATGCTTATTGCAAAGTTACTTTCACATTCTTTGTGAAAAATTGGTGTTTAAAACGACTGTGGAGCAGACGTGAAATTTTTTCAACAGAAGTGATTTGTACCCACACTGATAAAATATTATCCATTTGTTTCTTTGCTTAGTGAATGAAAAAAGCCACGATTTGCAGTGATTTACATGGTATCTGCCTGACTGAAAAAAAAAACACAGGATACAGTTATTACAGGCACATAATCAGGTTTACGTCAATCATCAAGAAGGGACAGAGGCAGCCTGCAACCGAATATCTACAGCTTTCCAGAAATTGTAAACAATGGTTGGTAAAAAAAAAAAAGTGGCAACTGTTGATAAAACTGGCAGTGAACAGGCTACGATCTGCAACCATTATTTATATACACTAACAAGAATTCAAGGCACGATGTGTTCAAATATGAACATTGAAATCAGTAACGAGGTATGTGTAATCTTGATAATTCAAGCACCAAAATATAATAACTATGCGATATGTGCAGGAGTTATTACGTCAAAATCTAGTTCAGGTTTTCTCTCAAAACCACTGACCAGTTTCTCACATGCATCAACAACATGATTTAGTTTTGTTCTAAATTTACCAAAACAGTTGGCAAAAGGAAGACGGATTGAAAAAGTAGCACCATGATCTTGAGTTGTACAGCAAGGTAGCACGCTTTCTTTATCTCTGAGTCAATCAACCGTAGTCTAATACAAGATCTCATCTGAAATGAAATTAAAAAAAGGAACGCTTGTAAAACAAAGTAAAGAACTTGGCAAAATCATGGGCAAGGGGACACTTGCTTTAGAAAATATGGGAAAACAAAGAAAACTGAATGGAAAGAAAAGACAAATGAAAACAGGGAAAGCAAACAATTGCCTGTTTTCATGAAACTCAGAACTGACCCGCTTCAGTATTGAGGGTTTGTAGTCTGCCAGTATTGAGTGCTTCGCCCCCAAAGGAGTCACGCCCCCTTCTTCAAAAAGTTGCCAGAAACATCTATTCCCGCAAGCAGTCTGCCTCGAGCAGAAGCACCTTACCATTAGTTGAAAACAGTCGGGTTGGTCAGGAGGGTTCGTTTTGTTGGTAGCGACGTGAAGCAAGGCACGCATCTCATAGTCGTTGGTGAACCAGCGTAATTCAGTTCCGACTAAAGGAACCTTCGTTGCTATTAAAATAATTCCCTCCCTTGGTCCAGTTCGAGGCCCAGACGAATAACAATATGTTGTTGGCTAGTGGCCTTTTTTTGCTTGGCAAGTTTGCTTTCAACACTTGGCAAATTCATGTATTTAACAGACCTTCAATGAGAAGGGACTAATTTGGCAACCGAAGCTTAACATTATTATTCTAATGACACCACACTCTAATGCAGGTGATGTGTGCATATTATGCGTCCCTTCGACCAGTACGGTATTTCGGATTTGCCAAGATGCCAAAACATGCATGAGGGTGGTGCGACTGTGCCAGTGGCATCGCGTCAGATCAGTCGGAGCCACAACTGGCCCTATCAAGATTGACGCTACTCACCATCATTCAGTCCCATGCACTTGCCCCACTCCACGATAGAGATCAGGTCGTCGTCGTTGGTGTCGCAGCTGGCAATGAAGGCATCGGTGCAAGGCTCCATGGGAAGGAGCTGGGCCCGCATGGGCTTCAGCTCTGCTGTGCTCAAGTGGCTGAGGGAGAAACAGAAACAAATCAAGATGTGACCTAAGTACTTGCTCTGCTAGCATTTCAACGGGAACAGTGCAAAGTCTGTCATAAACCTGTATCACTCCACTTAGACCAACAGGGTTGAGATTGTCAGTTTTCAACATATCTGAAACTGTGTATAAACTGTCAGGTGCATTTCTTCCTATCCGCCTTGAGCAGGAGCACCCCCTCACTGGTTGAAACAGAGCCATGTTGGTCGGGAGTGTTCATTTTGTTGGTAGCTATGCGACTGCAACACTTGCCTTTCACAGTTGTTCTTGAACCAGCGAAAGGCAGTTACTACCAAAGGAGCCTCCGTTGCTGGGAAAATTGCGCCCTCTCTTGGTGGCACTCAAGGCTCACACAGATAATACCTGAGTAGATGGCATGCTATCAACTACTCTCTCACCACAGGATGTCATCTAGAACTGAAATATCTTCCTGTCCCTACCCAGCCAAGGTTCAAACCTGCCTGTCCACTCCCAGTAAAGTTTTTTTGAATGCATGTCTGAAGAAAGGTTTGTTGCAGAGTCCAGTAAATGGGTCATTCCATGAGGTTGGGCACAATTTGTGACGGTGTCCTTGTTACATGGGTAACTTTTACCACCTGTCATGACCTGACAAGTAGGTCATTTACTTTGTAGAAATAACACACCTCTGTATTCAGCCTTGCAAGATGTATAATTTGGAATCCACGTGCAGGGAAATAGCTGTTCATTTTTACGTAACAATGGACGCCGTCACAAATTGTGCCCCGACCTCATGGAATGACCCAGATGATGAAGTGGTCTGATGAGACCAGACTCATACTGCAATCCACTCACAAGTCGTTCGGTGCAATGTCCATGTTGAAGAACTTCCAGTGCAGGGGGCGTCGCCAGGGCTTAGTCTCCGCCTCAGCCTCCTTCTCCACTCTGCGCTCCTCCTCGTCCAGTCCGCCCTCTTGCTCAGCCCACCCTGACAGCTCCTTCATGACCTCGAAGAACCAGGTGCGCATGCGCTCCGGGAACATGACCAGGTCGGCCGGGTTGCACTGCTCCATGACTGCGGTACGAATGAGGAAGTATTGCTCCATTATTTGTGAACTCAAAACATTTCCACAAAAGGGTTGCTCACTGACTTATTGCCATTTAAGGAAACAACAGTGAATCACCACACAAAGGCAAATTTTGAATAGCAACATATTAAAAATCCACCATTTTTTGTGTGCACAATGAATGCAACATTGAGTTTTTCTTTCCTGGAATGAGATCACTGCTCATGAAGATCAAAATTTACATTAGAATAAAAACCAAAACGGCATCAAAATACTTTTCAAATAAGTGAGACAAAAATGTGCCACCAAGGCTAACTAAAACATGACATTTTTAAGGATTTTCCTCACGTGGCACACAACACACAAATGCTTGTTTGTGCCCCTCTTGATTGGCGCTCGTGATAACTTCAAAAACCTGGATGACAACCTTACATGTATGTCTTTTGTCACCTAGCCGAAAATAAAACTTAAAAAATGGAAGACTGAGGGCTTCCTACTTTTGCAGGGGCCAAAATAATCGAGCTGCTCCACATCCATCTCTGTTGGGTTGGCACAGCGGAGCCGGTAGAGCTCACACTGGCTGCGGTAGGTCACGTTGGTGGTGCTGCAGACTTGGATGAACGGGTCATTCTCCTCCTCGGGACACAACTCCACGCAGTCGCAGTAGGGGGCGCCATTGCCGTCCACATAGCAGGTCTCGCCCGGTGGACACTGCAAGGTGTGGCACTTGTCTGGGGTGGGAGGGTGGGTGGGACCGTTGGAGGGAGGGGGTGTTAAACAGAGAGGTTAAAACACTGGCCTGTCGGATGTGTTGGAAAGAACTGCACTGAAGTTAAACTTTTTCTACTAAATGATATGCATGATGGTCAAAGCTTGGTTGTTGCATTATGTGACGCTTTGATACAAAAATGCCAGCATTTGAGTGTCATTTTGATCAGTTCAGACTGTGATCCATGACTTCATGGAATCATTAAAGACAAGATTTCTGAAGATGGATACCAGACTTCTGTTGAAAAGATCCACACCCGGTGGAAAGGTTGCTCCAAAGTACATTTCAGCAAGGTTTTCCCCTTCAATTTCAGTGATACTCAAAAGGTTTTAAGCCCTAAAATGAAAACTGGGTGTCCACATTTAGTTAATATAGGGCGTCCAGGTTGGACATTGTACGGCCTAAAGGGTGTCCGAATGATGCTCAGATGCACCTGTGGCTAAACCACTGATACCTGCTTCCTGAAAAGTGGTCTCTAAGATTGGTTATTTGGGCCCAAATCTGGCCCCTTTCTCTGGGGCACTTTCAGGGGAAGGGAGGAGGACAGTTCAGATGTTTGGTTCCTTCTTACCACTGACGTCATTCACGCTCTCCTCATTTTCCTCCTGGTACCCGTCAATGCTGTAGATCTGCTCCTCTTTTGTGTACGTCAGCGACTCCAAGGCTTTCTTCGCATTTCTAATCTCGTGCCTTGCAGCTTTGATCTGCTGATGCTGCAAAAGAAGAATGATCAATGTCTCACGTGGCTGGTTGTTTGGATCTATAGAGTCTAAAGTCCATGACCGTATAGTCGCTGGGTCCCTAATTTCGCCAGATACCGGTATGTATTGCCAAGTCTGATTGATTTTCATGGTAAGTGGCAAAATAAGGGACCTGGCAAATACATGTATACAGAATGGATGTGAAATTGTAACATGTGCTGTTTTTAAATGTCATAATGGCCACATTTGCATATGAGTCCATCACAAGTCTTTTTGCACAGTTCGGTGAAAATCCCTCAAGACCAGTGATAAGTGTAAGGGTGAACAATGGCAACTCCGCTCCGAGCAGGAACAAAAGAGGACGTGTTTTGAAATGAAATTGACAGTCATTTGGTGTGCACTCACTGCATGGGCGTGCAACTTGCACATTTGACGCAGAGCATGCTGAGTATGCGCAATGCATTTAGTCTGGAATATATGGTCTTCGCGTGCACACCGAATGCGTGCAAGAACCCGGTTGGAAAACTTAGCACCGTCTGTCTTTCTTTTGCCAGTGAGGGCGCACTTCAGCACAGGGAAGATAGAAAGCTGTTGTCACAGCTCACTTGCACAGCTTGTTACTTGGTCTAAGACTAAGTGACTTGTGGGGCTTGTGGTGAACTCTACCACTGACCAGAGTGCCTGGTTTCTGTAATGACCTTACACAGTTGCAATGTCCTTAATATTGCAACAAATTGGACCCCCTTTTTAAAATAAAAGGTTGCCCTAGGAGCTTTTTTTAAATAAATGAAACAATCCTTTAAATTATATAATTTCTTTTCTGTATTCAATATGCAATTTATTTCAACAGTTTGATACTTTTTAAAATATTTCGTTTAATTACTTCATTCACATTGTCTCTTGTGATTTATCCTTGAAGTTCATGAGGTTTCTAAAGTTTCTTCCTTTTTTATTTTCTTGATGGATAGAAGACATTAACAAGTATGACAGAATTTCTGGTTAACATCAATAAAATATTGCAGATTTCAGGATTGCATCTCCATCTATTATCTTAAGGAAAGACGGATATTCTTTGGTGAAACAGATCGTTTTCAATGGAGAATTACAGATTGGATTAGTCCAATTCCTTCTGTGGAATTTACCATTCCTCTTGAATTTGTTGACTAGCCCCAAATCTGACACAGCAAGACTGAGCGGACTAGGGTCAAGTCGAATCAAATATTGACCTCTTTGCTTGACCCCTGCGAGCAGCCCGCTGGGTCCAAGTTTGCCGAGCCCAAGTGTCCCACTGTGCCCTGTGGGGAGATTTAGCTGGCTGCCATGGCAATAGACGTGCAGGAACTCTCTAGACTCTTAAAGTCACCAGCTAAAAGAACAGCAAAACCATCTCAGTGAATAAGGTTTCGTTAAATAAAATCAGAATGTGTGTGGTTAATTCTTGCCTCTGACAAGAACCACAACTCTTTAGTTCTGGAAGGGAAATCTACCATGGGGGAGGGCATCGACAGTGCCATATTGTTTCCTTGCGGAAGGAAGCTAAACCAAATTCACTAGGAGCCTAGCCATGACCTCTTACTGTGGTTTACATCTGCATAAGTGACAAACAAGGCCCATGTGTTGAGCAGATGGCCAGCCAAATACTTGGCCAACAATGAGAAATTAATTTTAAAAATTAACAAAATTATTAAATTATGCACAGTTTAAGACTGGTTTTCACATACATGTACATGTTTATTCATGGCATTATTTTCAAAAAAGGCATTTTGCCCCAACTGATTCTGCACTAATTATTCCCATCAATCCACAGAAATTGCAAGATCATCTTTTATTTTAAAACTCTTGCTGATCTCGTTATTCCAAGTCCCTTCAACCCAAGACATACTAAACTAAGAATCTACACAGTTAGAATACACTAGTATCGCCCAGAGGAAAACCTTTTCCAGTAGAATAATTTCTACACTAAAATATTCAGCTTCTCATCCAAATGGGGTAACGATCAAAGTGATTGAAGACCAGATCTAGACCTTGGTGGGAATCTGGGAATGCTTCAAGGCACCTGTGGTCTGGTGGTTGGGCCAAATGATGTAATCAAGATAAATATAGCACTGGAAAAAATGTAGACAGTAGTAGACAAGTTTATTCTGATAATTGATTTACATTTAACCCCAACCTTCCTCAATCCCTCCAAGATCCTTTGGGCAGTTTTGGAGGGGTTTGGGGGAATTGAAGCAGAATAAAAAGGAGAAAAATGTGACAAAGGATGTCCTGTGCCAAGGTCTCACGTTAGACCTTGTATTGTTTGTACTCAGACGTGCATACATGTAAATTCAGACCTGGATGGTATTTGAAATCATCCAGGCTGCTCTGTTATCATGCACACTGCCTCAACTTCATGACAGGAATTGTCTGAGGATTCTGAAGGAAAAGGTCATCCCTCCAAGGAACATATTAAAAAAAAATAATGGAGGATTTTGGAGGACTGAGGCTGTGTCAAATTTCACCATGGGGGCAGTTGGAAGATTTTGAAGGAATAATGATGTGCTCACTTATCAAAGGCTTCTTGAAAGAGTCGGAAAAGTGCATTTGGATAGCAAATTCTAAATGGATTCAGGAAACAAGTACGAGTAATGGACACTACTAATTTTCCCTAAAGTGACCTACATGTATTAGCCATCTGAAAGCAAAAAAAAATTGTCCCCAAAGTCAAATTTAGCACTGAAAACACTGAAGTATTCACTTTTAAAACACTTACGTCGAATTTTTCAAACCATAGAGTTTGGGCAGAAGGTATTAAGCAGGGTCTGTTCATGGTATTCTTTGAGGATTCAATAGAAATCCTCCCCTAGTGCATCTTCATCTGGTGGGATATGTTTCACTCCAGAAGACATGCACACTGCACAGCATGAAATAGAAACTGATAAGGAAATTCAAGCTACTCACACTCATATGATGCAAGATATGGGGCGGAGAGAACCTCCCCCCCCCGCCTTTGTGTTGGTCATTGTTTGATCGGAATCTCAGGAATTCTTACAGACTTCTGGGGGATGTGTTAGGTAACAATAGTCTAGTGTATGTATAGGGATTGGACATGTGAGGGGATACATGTACCTATTGGCCCCATATGTGCACGGTATCCTCAAAGTAGCTGCTTCAACTCAATTCAACGGCCGCTCAAGCCTGTGGTTCCCTTGTTGCACTGAGCAGCGGTGTAATCATTGGCCAATGATTTTGTAGACATCCAAATTGCTTCACAAAGACCACCTAATCCGTGGCTTAGTCAGACCATTACCTGAACAATACCATGGCAAGTCAAAGACCCACAACAGGTTACACCGAGCTAGAGGGGGCAACATCAACTATGAAGGTAGACATGACAGAGACTCCAGGTATCCACTTGAAGGAATTCTTCAGAGGTTAGCTGCTCTATGCTCAAAGCAACTAAAATTCCAAATACAATAACTAGTTTTAATGTTTCAGACAGGTTTACCAACTTTTTCTCTGAGCAGTTCATGGAACATACCTGTCAGAAGACTAAAAACCAAGGAAATATTTGAGGTCATGGATTATGACCAACATGTACTTGGGACAAGTAGAACCTGTACTTTGTAACCCAGCTGAAATAACTGAAGTTTGACATTAAAAAGTCAGGGAAACTCAGAATCAGTCCATTACACACAAACAGAGCTTAGAGGAGTCGATAATTTCTGAACAGCGTTTCCAAACTTTCCAGGAATGTAAAAATGATAGCAAGAGTTTGGCATCTGGCCATCACAAATAACTAAATTCCATCTCACCATAGAGGAAGGAATGGTCTCATCATCACGATCATGGTTTGTATTGACTGTCTATTAAACAAATTCCGCTTAGGAAAAACTGAATTTGTCTGATGAAAAGTCGGTATAAAAGTCATTTTTAAAGCTTGTTTATAGTACACTCGAAGATTCGTGGTGGCCGGATATAGAACTCTTTTCAAAATGAAATATTTAAGAGAATATCTAAGACTTTGCAGAGGAAACATCGAGAACTGATGATAGGGCTTACTAAAAAGTGATTATACCCTGACCAGACGGCACAATCATGACAATTACCAATGTGCATACACCGTATACACGTACCTTTGTTTTGTGTTTACTAGCAAGTGCAACTGCCACGATACAAAGTAGAATCACAACTCTCGAGAAAGCCATTGTCGACAGCAGGATTTCGACAGCTCTTCGCAAAGCTAGCTCTCGCCAAACCTGAGGATTCTACTCCACGTCAAGGGCCGAGCCAGGTCTTCCGAAGCCGAGGAAATCGATGTGCTGGGGTAAAAATACAAGACACCAACACAACCCGACGACACGCGTCGATATTGCTCAAACTAGTCAAAGCGATGATGCCAACTTATGATAGACCGCACACATGGTAGTAGTCTCGTCAAGCACTCTCTAGCCCTGTGACGCGTGAGACACGTCTCTCAAGGAGTCTTATTACCGTCTGGGTCAAGACCCCCTCTGGCTTAAACAAATAAGGGGCGTTCTAGACTGGTACCTTAAAAGCCTAAACCCAAATAATTTGAAACGCGTTCGGGGCGTGGCCTGGTGGCATGGGTGGGCATGATGGAGGGGGGTGTTTAAGCTCCTTGTGCGGTCGAGTCCTATGCCTAGACTTCCCCATTCAAAACTTGAAGAAAACAAAAAGCACAGAAAATACCATGAGCGAACCAAGGCCCACCCAGAAAGCACGGCCCTCCCTAACTACCCCGATCTAGACGCGGATTGAACGGGGGGGGGTGTTGCTCAAAATCACCCCATGCTCTCAGACAAAAAGGTAAACAATGGGGAAATACTAGTATAAAATGACTAAAGTAAGTATGAAAACAAGATAGCATCGTTCCCGCTTGTCTGCAAAAATGAGATATTAATAATAATTTCCTGCCTGACCCACCCCCGATATTTCCTCGATCCGCCCCTGCATGCACACTGAATACAGGTATACTGAATAAAAGGTAAAGAAAACTGAGAGAAAAAGTCGCTCACGTCGAAGTAAACCTATGTCATGCTTTATTATGCCTTTAGACAATGCTGCTTGTAAAGTTGATCGTAGTCTTGAGCTTCTCGTGTAACATTTTCATTTTAACCCAAAGTGCCAAACTCAAGCATTTTTCTACAGTTACATGTACCTTCACTGGTTTTCATCAAATTAAAAAAAAAATATTAATTAAAAAAAGTAGCATGGAAAAACTGAGTACATTTGAAAGCGAAACTGTTCTATTGGCTAGATAAGAGACAAGCTATACACACTAATATACATTCTAATGCAAAAGATATTATTTTTTGTGGTACAGGTTACAAATTTATGCACGCTATGTAGGCCCACAGCATACTCTAAATGTGATTTCATCCTTAAAAATTTTGTCTTTTAAAAACAAACAATTTTGAGGTTTAAGCACCAGGCTTTATCAGTATCCGTTGATGTACATGTACGTTGGCATTCCAGCATAGACGGAAAACATCGGTGCTCCTAAAGCCAGAATCGCCGGGTCGTCTCCAACTGGTAGAGTGCGACAATATTGTTGTTGTACCGGCAAGGCGTATCGATTCTCCAAGACTCGGTACGGCAGGGTCGCGTTTGTATCGTACTGACGGCACGCGTATAAAACGGCTGGATCTTGCAGCAGAGTATCGAATCTCGTCGAGGAAACATTTGGATGTACGCATCGATGGCCGACTGCGCCGTTGAGAAGGAAGGAGATGATCCTGTTCTCGTGCTGAGTTGCGCGGGAATCGACACTCACAGTCTCGATCTTTTGTGGGCAGGGTGTGCTTTTATCTTCATCGGTCGTCCCGATGGACACGATAGCGGGGTCGTCGAGATGATTTTCCGTTGGTTTTGGAGACTGGCAGCTAGGAAGAGCTGGCCATGCGGCATTGTAGGATTCGGTGGAAGCTTCTGAACTTTGCTGTTGACTGAAGCGAGGCGGTCTGAAGCCTCGCCGCCTGCGTTGCAAGCAGTGAGAAGCATTACACGAAGAATTACCGTGGGGATAGAAGGGAGTCAGATACTTTCTCTTGACTGGTGTCTGAAAGTTGCCTTTTCCCGGAGCACGGAAATCATCCCAGTTCATCACTTCGTCTGCCTGGTCACTGCGGTAACCACAGCAACGTTTGATTTGGCCGATGGGTGAACGGGCGACGTTATTTCGACCACATGGTGGCGCCCCAGCCAGAATGCACGAAACTTCCGCCGAGCATTGACTCAAGTTGGCGGTGTAGGTTCCGTTGCCGGTAAACGAACCTCCAAAATAGAAGTTGCTGGACACGACTTGTGTTCCGTCTGGCGAAGCTGTAGACGCCCTGGAAACAGAAATCTTCCTTCTTCGGCGCCGTCGTCTGGCGCACACGGAGGCCGATTCTGTCTCAATGACGTCTGCGCTCAACGATCGTTCTCCCTGATCGCTTTGACTTCGTGACGACGCACTGCTAGAGTAGCTAGCACTGAGCGACCAATTCAGCTCAGAAGACGAGCCATCAGAGAAGTCTGAGACCGACTTATGAGATTCCTCCTCACCAACGTTCTCTTCAGTTGTGTTGAACTTTGTGTCTGAGAACAAAGAGATACCACTCTCATTTTCAGCTTGACGGAACTCGCACTCCTTTGCTCGAGAGAGTGAGGAGCGACAAGGTCTTGTCGGTATTGAGACCTGATCTTCTGTTGATGAAGTTTGATCCTGGGGTTGTGATGTCTGGCTTCCTGGTGATACGACTTGATTGTCTGTGGTCGGTGAAAAGGAGTCTCCTCCTGGAGAAATGATCTCCTTGTCTGGGGAGTAGGATGCATCTCCTGGCGATATGGTTTGACCTTGTGGTGAAAAGCAATTCGCCTCGGGTGAAGAAGGTTGACCTTCCGGTGAGAAAATCTGATTATCCAGCGAAACGCTACGAACTTCGAGGGAGAAGAATTCTTCTGGTGAGAAGCTGTGATCTTGCGGAGACAGGCTTTGATCCTCCCGCAAAAAAGTTCGATCCCATGTGTACGGCAGTTGGCTTCGAGACTGACTCTCAGACGCTGGAGAGACGCGAGCTTCCGGTGAAACTGTTTGACCTCTCATCAGTGATGACGATGTTGAAGACTGGGTGTCTGGTGTAGAGGTACGGACACCAGTACATTGCAAGTCCATGCCGCCAATACTTGCCTCATGATCGAATGATACGAGCTCACCGGAGAGTGCCGGGGCTTTGGGCGGAGATCGGAAGCTAGAAGGTGACATCAGTCTTGGGTTGTGGGTGAAGGGGTGGGCCAGGTCAAAGGTCGTGCTTTTGCTTTTCCAGCCTACAGACGGGGAGAAATATTGTACAAAGCAATTATCTATAGAATTCTATCGAGGGTTTGCAATTCACGTTTATTCAATGGTCCCTTGCCATGTTAAAGGATCCATTACCGAGTATCAGCTGCGAGGGCTTTCGACAGCTAACATTACCATGACTACCGATACGGCATCAAATCCGACCCGAACCAGAATGGCTTTTTAAAAAACCATTTTGGAAAGAAATTTGGCCTTGCTTGAACCTCGAGGGGCTCTTGTAATCAATAGAGCCTTTGCGCGGTAACCATCATGCAGGGCAGTTCTTTTGTTCACCGGCCTCAACCTGGCAGCCATGAACGGGAATGGAAAACAAAAAACACCTTTTGACAAATGGCAGGTCCCTCACTAATTTCACCTTGTGCCAAACAAACAAGAAACAGCTTAATGTTTTTGCAGACTCTCCAAGGAATTCAGTGTGTCAAAGCATCTCCTAAACTGCTGTTCCCAATGATTGCATTTCGATCTCAAATTCCTACAAAATCCCGTAAAACAATTAGGCTTTGTTCTATTTGTGACCTACGCTTACCTTTCTCACGCTGTTTTCGTTCTCGGTCGTCTTCGGTCATTTGACTATAAAGCATCGACATTTTGTTTGCATCTACACATATAGTCGTCGGGTGTGTGTTCTCACGAATGTGAGTCCAAACATGTTGCTTTATAAAATTTTAGTTCTTTTGTTGTCATCAGGTTCGTAGGTTACTTCGTCATACACGCGCACGCACCACTGATTTCAAACCTTTATTGGATGAGTACTCAAGTTGCGCGTAAAGTTCTGGGTCTATGATTCCATGTGCCTCAAGGTGCAGTGGGCGTGGTTAAACTGATTAGAAGTGACGTCACACTTGGAAAACGCGTTGTTCATTGATTTTTATTATCAATGGCATTGTTGGCGAGTGCGCGTAACTCTCATGCGTGTCTGGATATCGTTAACGCGCTTGTTAACATGCAGACGACTAGCAACATTTTTTGTTTGTAAATAATTAGGTCAGGAATGGTTTAGCAATAATTCTGTACTATGTTCTCTAGTATTATGTTACGCTGTAAAAACTTCAAAATGTGGTGCAGCTTGGACATGACGGCGGGTACACTGGCGTTGACGAAAAGTATTTCAAAATTGTAAGAAGAATTCTGGGACTTTTTGACAAAAGGTACGGTAACGAACTCTAGATTGCTTTTGTTTTGTATTGAGCTTAGTTACAGTATATTTTAATTAATAGGATGCCGCTAATCAAACAGGCCAAATGCAAGATGTATAGCGGCCTCTCATTAAACGAATGGCGTTTGTTTAAAAATGACTGGCCTACATTTATATTCTGTCCCGTTTTGGCCAATTTCAAATTGTTTTTACCAGTGCTAGACAATTACACGAATTGCGTTTGTTTAAAAATGACTGGCCTACATTTATATTCTGTCTCGTTTTGGCCAATTTCAAATTGTTTTTACCAGTGTTAGAAAAGATTTTTGGAATAATCGTTCACTTAATAAGATGGATCTCTCACATTAAATGGCTAAATGGTGGGCCTTCTCGTCCACAAAATAAATGTAAAGGTAAAATTAAAGCCTAGTTCGGATTCTGTGCTCGGACACTTTCTCAAAATCTTAACGCCCAATCACTCAGTGGAAAACATTACCAAAGAAAGGTTACATTGGATTCTATATCCGTACTTTTTCGCCCGATCATTTTTGTATTAACGCTATACGTGTGGGCTTTGAGAAAATGAATGGAAGTAGCAGCAACATATTTTGATGACGACAATTTCGGAGATAGCAACTTCCTTCGCTTACAATTAAACAAGTGAATTGAAGACATTGTATGAGTGGAATGATGTGTCAGAATGAGTTCAATTGGAACTTTGTCATGGAGAAAAGTTCAGACTCCACTGAGCCAATTTCTTTCCCCCCACAAGCTACTCAAGGCTGATGGCGAGGAAGCTTGCCGCGAAGCCCCTGCCACCGGGGAGGGCATCGCTGATCATCTTGACAGTCATATGGTGTTGTCGACAGACACAAAGGACCCAATTGGAGGGCTTTCGCTGCACATCCTGTCATACGGCAAACAGATTCACAGTCCTTTCACTAATTTTTTTGATCTCTCAATCTTCATTCAGACATTATCATCGATACCGAGATATCGACATTTTACGTGGCAGTATTGCATAACAATAGACTCATTCGAAGTTCTGTTACGTGTATTCGATTGGAATCAAAGTCAACGATCTTTCAAAACGTATGTTTGGTTGCTTTCTGACAACGGATCATTAGTTTTGAAATTTAAAAAAACGAAATTCTTTTATTTGAGACTAGGTGACAATTAATTTGGCATTTTGACAGATAAAGTTTTCATTTCCATCAATTTTTGAGACATAGGCTTAGGAGCATTCTTCGGGAATCGTTGGGCAACTTCAAGCACGATCATCGTCCATTTTAGAGTTATGTATAAAAACAGGATGCTGAGAGGATGAACAATCTCTAAAAAAAAATCAACAATCGAATGTACGATTTTCCTAATGGTGTTAGACTCTGCCCCCGTAGCTGTCTGTACATTTCCTACCTGACTGAGCCAGCAACCTGGCTGGGAACCACCTGCAACATGTCCCACGCGCACGTCTCCTCTTCCTCCTGTCTTCCCCGCGCAGCTCCACTCGTTTACCAGCCTCAACCTGCGAAAAGGCCACCTGAATGACTTTAGTTGTTTAACATACTCGTCCAAAGTCATTAATCAGCGGCTTCATGCATTTCCCAGTCACACATGCACCCTTTTAGCTGAAGCCAAGTAAATTTGACGCACTGATATAGCATTAAATTGCGCGGCTATATAATAGAAGTAAAACACAAAATCGAGAGCAAATTATCAGACAGGAAAGCAAAAACGTAAACGTTCACAACTAACTTAAGAGAAGTGGGCCTGGTGAAAGAAAAGGTTTTAAATACGAGGGAGTTTTACGCTTAAAATAGTTGCAAACGATTTCTGAACCACAAATTGGACTTTGACGGAAGACGGAACACACAGAGAGAACCATATTTTTACTGAAACTCTTCATATTTCACTTTGTATCTCAAACTGTCTGGAACGACACCGTCAGGGGTTGATATCGAGCCAAAGACAGCTTCTTTTAAATTATTCTATCGAGAACTTGAACGAATTTTTGTATTGATTCTACGCGATGAAAACAATGGGACAGAAAATGGTGTCCTACCCGAATGAGATATGCACACTCCTTGTCGTCATTGTACACCTCGTGTCCATAATTAACGGATGCTACACATCCAGAGTCGGCAAAGAAAAACCCTCCACATGTTCCTTCAACTCCCTCTGCATATGTCATAAGTTATTCAATTTAGGAAACTTTTAAAACATTATAATGTCCTTTGACAGATACATGTATCATAGATTTTGAGGCCTAACTTTTTAAGGGTTAATAGTGGAAGTCATGGAAAGTTTGCGATGACAACATACAGGTTAATGCATGGTCTGTCTTTTAGTTGTGGTTCTGATAATAGTGCGCCTCAGAAAGTTTTCAACGCGTTGGCCAACCACAACGCGCAAAATCTGTCGACCCTTTAATTCCAAACGTGCATCGGGTCGACAGATTTTGCGCACTGTTCTTGACCAACACGTTGCAAAAGTCTTGGAGGCGCGCTATTGGGAAACGCCCGTATTATTAACCAATGCCGAATGCGGGGTTGGAAGGTCTTGATACCCAAGGACAAATATTGTATGAAAACCCAACTCACCGCATCTACCACTAATCGTTGGAGTAGTTGTACCGGGCTGGGTAGTTGTGGAGTGATGGTAGGCGTGGTCAACGAGACGTTCGTAGGCTGTGTCACTTAGCTTGCCTGGAACCCCCGCCCAGGACCACCAACATGATTCCCATTGGACTTGATCGATCGGCTTTGGCAATTGTGTACCGCAGTATCTGCGAGAAATGTATTGCCTTTGTTCAAGCATGCCAGTCGATGCTATTCATGTATTTAGAGACTAGAGCTGAAAGGATAACTTGTATCGATACCAACTGACATCTATAGAAGTTGCTATAGATACCAAATGGTATAGATACCGCAATAGGACCAAATTGTTAAATTTAAAATCGCCGTTCTTGCGGTGTTGTACGCTAAAAAAATCTGCAGCATTGTTGGGGGTCAGGTCAGTTTCACAGCACTACAGCAAACTTTTGTGCAAATATCAGGTCACGACAAGTTAAAATGATTAAGATTACAAAGACATGTTTGGCAGATGGCTCTCGAGCAGAAGTACCCCTCATCGGTTGAAAAGAGCCATGTTGGTCGGAAGTTGTCATTTTGTCGCCCATAGTCTTTCGTGAACCGGCGAAATTCAGTTCCGACCAAAGGAGCCCCCATTACTGAGAAGATTGCACCCTCACTTTTCCATCTCGAGGCTCATACAGCACTTCAAGTTCTTCCTTTCTGACCCATTACTCGGCGAAATTAAAACCTTTCATAAATCTCAAGTGCAGCTAACGGCTTACGTTTCTTCATTGGTGAAAACATCCGTGCCTTTCTGCACTTTGACCGAGTCGTACCAGCATTGCCCATTCCAAGTTTGCTCCACGTCCAAAGGAAGGCAACACGGTTGGTTTTAAAGTCAAACTTGAGAGGCAAGGTTTACTTTGACACGTTTGGTTTATTTTAATGCCTCTTTTACCTTTAGGCCTACCAAATGAAAATTGTCAAATCTTCCTGTTCATTCGTCGCACCCAGTCTTGTGCGAGCAAGTCGCCATATTGGAATCTGCATAATGGACAACTTCTAAGTCCCGTTTCGTTAAATTATCACGAACCACTAGCAACCGGGAGCAGAAGAAGGTTTTAACCTCTTCCCCGGCCGTCAGCTCGTACAAACAATCTCGAATCCAAACAAGTACAAACCATTTTACTTCGTGTGGTTACTTAGCAAGCAGTTTTAAGAAAACAGAATTTAGTGAAATGTGAGCTGTTGTTTGGTTGAGATCGCGTTTATTTTATATTCTCTTCCAAATTTGAATTTTCCCGGGGGGGTTCAAACAGTATAATGCGGGCCGATGAAGTGTATTATAGCAAACGAGTTGTTTAAGACAGACAAAGTAGTCCTGCGATTTTCTGACAAATACAAAACAAAACTACACGAAGCAGACGTTGCGCCCTTTGTCAAAGTTCGGCGCTTTTTCCGGTTGTTTAGTTTAGCATCTGGTTTTGGAACTATTCGGTACTGGTCTGTTAGTTCGACTCGTGTGGTACTTTCCACAAACTCCTTGTTCTACTTCCATTCTTTACACATGAGTGCCGCAGTTTTTCTCATGAATCTACGCATTACCATGGGCGGAGATCTGGGGTGGGGGTGGAATATATATCCCCCACTTTTTGACGTGGGGGAGGGGATTACCAATAATTATAATCACCTCTCCCCCCCTTTCAAGTCACTGACAATGCACACCCTTTGCCTGCACCAGCAACTTTTCCGGCATCACGATCTCACGTGGGGATGGAGGTCATGCTGAGCTTTAGGAAATCCTCCCCCGCGTGTAGCAAAAAATCTCCGCCCATGCCCATTACACCTACAACATTACAGTAATACCAATTCCTCCTGTTTTACCACTGTTGATTTTTTCGTCGAAATGAATTGAATTATGCGGAGAATTCAATACTGTCTGAAATGGTAATAATCTCGTGCGTCGCGTTGCGGTACTCGAATTAATATACAAATAGTGACAAAGATTGGGAGTTATTTCAACTGATAAAATAATTAATGGCAATGTCAGTTACTCTTAGTGTAAATATCCTGATGCATTATACAAAAGGATTCTTTGAATAGTCTTATCATTATTACCTTATTATACATTTCTTTGTTTTGTATTCAAACACCCCCATATTTATCTTTTAATATTCCCATCACGTAATCTAAAGGAAAAAAATGACTCGGGAACTTCTTACTATACTTTTCAACAAGCTTATACTCTGGAAAGTTGAAAGCAAACTCCAATTCGTTGAGCTCAAAGTTTTTTTTTTTTATCTTAGAAACATTCCAAATGATATTCGTGATGACTGCCAGTGTTGTGACATGGAGCTTGGCAGATGATCATAAATATTCACTAAAACAGGGCAAAAAACTAATTACCGGTTTTTTATTATTCACGGCGATTTTTTGCGGCGCATCAAAGAGAACAAGAGCATTTAAAGCCAAGCCCACTTAATGAGAATTCCCAAGCGGTCGTACTGCACTCTAGCGACGCTGTCGACTTACGTTCCACCAGGCTTCTGGGATCATCTGCTGCAGCCATGACGCGGCTACTTCTGGTCCTAATTTTCTTCACATTTAAGAAGTCTGCGTGCGGCGCAAAAGACAACTCTGTAGATTATCACGGGGTGAAAACAAGTTCTTCTCCTGCCACATTTCATATCACATTCTCATATTTGTCGTTACTTCATCAAATCAAGTAGAATTTGCGATTCATTTTTCCGGTGCTCAGTTCTGTGGTTTCTAAATTCATGGGTCAAAGATGTACTGAGTCACGATCGTTTTATTAGCGTTTTATTTCATTCTTCATTTGTGAATAGAACAGACTCAGTTATCGAAGAGACAGCTATACCGGTGTTGCAAGAAAGTGGAACTTCAATTTTGCATTCTACAAACCGGTCCACACGTTGTCAGTGGTCAAATGCGAGACTCTATCCATTCTAGAGCTGTAGTTCAGATAATTCAGTTCTTTGGGGAAATCGTTGAAAGCATGTGACGAGTGGCCCCACTGTAATTGGCCAGTGGCGAAGTGTGCAAAGTTGGTTCTATTAGCTACGCGGTATACAAAGTTTGCCCCTCGCCGACGCAAAGCTTGAAACAGTACTTAATTACCTCCGTTATGAGATATTGTTAAAATCGTGATGCCAAAACCCTACCATCCTCAGCGTTTATATACATATACACAGTTGTAAATTCTCGACGCACGCGTATGGATGGACTCATTCGAAAATGCAGACCAATTGGCGTGTTCGATGAGTTTCCACGAGTTGACTCGTGTTTAACTGCGTCCCAATCGTCTCGCTTGTTTTGTCACAGCACACACGGTCATCCCCAGGTCTGCGTTTCCCCGTGTAAGCTAATCGAACGCACGCTAATAATGAACCGAAGCGTTGATTTTTTTTTAAAATGCTAATCAATTAGACTGGGCCAATTACAAAGCGGCAATTGCTTTGCTTGGCCGGCAGTATAAAGCAAACCAGGTTTTGATTGGACCCAATTCCAGCCACACCCTGAGTCGATACATCCAGACCCACCTGAACAGACAGAAACTCCGGGCGCCTTCCAGTCGGACATGATGCTCACGGACGATCAAGCGGAGGAAATCACCTACAGCTTTTTGTTTGGAGACGTTCATCCGCGACGAGCAGTTCGAACTAGTAGATGGCCCCAGGCGATAATCCCCTACGAGATTGATGGCAACTTTGGCGGTGAATATAGACCCTTTTACTTCACTTTATTAAGAAAGCTTAAAAGCAATTATCTCGTGCAGATTGCACTATAGACGAGCGTCCAATAACTAATATTATCATCATTTGCATTATTAGTAAGCATTCATAAATACCTCCGAAAGTTTGCATCTTCTGATTGGTCAGAAGTCAAGCCAAGTCACATGACCGTTGCGAACAGGCTCTTATAAGACCAGTTAAAAACGCACTTGGAATGTGCATTTGTTTCATTTACAGCACGCTCTGACAAAAACATATCATCCAAAAATTGGAATTCCTAAAAAGCTGAGCCAATGCACGTTATATTTTATTTTTAACAAAACAGAAATGAGCTGATTGGGTCTTTCCCCAGATTAGAGTATGACCAGAGAGTCTAATCTCTCACAATTTCTGGAAGTTATTTCACCTGCTTTCAAAACTGTGTGAACATAATCCTTATAAGTTGATTACAAAGTATCATTCCGCACACGCGTTTGAACTGTGACACTCCAAGCCACGGTAATAATTATGTTTATACTGCAAGCTGGATGTGGGCTTTTACCTATAGGGGGCAAACGATCACTGATGAAATTATCATCAACTTAAAAAAATCCAGCACGCTAAAATGCTGTTCTCAAAATATTTCAGAGGGAATGCGTACCAAAATCCGGGAAGCCATGGATTGGTGGCGAGAGGACACATGCATAACTTTTGAAGAATACACGCCCTCAGGAAACCCTGACAGTGACCACCGCGTGCGTTTTAGGAAGGTGGCTAGCGGGTAAGTGCAATTGGTTACATCAACAGACTTCGTTCAGTTTTGGCCGCAGGCAGGCGAGAATAACATGCAAGCCTACATTGAAGCCATTGGCTTCATCAAGGGCGCGTTAGCCATTCTGTACAGATAAACGTGTGACTACCGGTGGAGTTGGGGGGGGGGCAACGCCTCCGGGGAACTCTTCCCCTGAAAAGAGCCTGGCTACAGCTTGGGGGATTGCTCCCGGGAAATCCCCCCCCCCCCCCGAACCAGACTACGGCACTGGTGACTGCCTGTCGCATGCAAGACTTTTATACCTTCACTGGTCCCCGCACTCTTAGGGGAAAAATACCACGGACGTCCGTGGAAAATACCTTGCACAAGTTTGTGAAACAAGTACGACACAGCCCCAGTTTCATCGAAGCATTGTTTGCTGATTTGCAGCCTTTCTTCAATGTGCATGCATGCAATTTCAATGTGAGCGTGCGGATGCGCTGGCCCAGTTATTGTTCAAATTAACGCTATATACTATCCAATGAGGCCTAGGGCTCGTAGAAATTACACCAAGTATCCTGAAATAGCAGTCCACTCCAGATCCCTGTGATGGCAGTGATGACGTTAAGGTAGCGTCTTCGAATTGGCTATTTGGTATTTGTTAAATTTATTTTGAGATGGGAGGGTGGATACAAACTTTCATACAGAACACTCGTAACACGAAGTCACCGTCATGGCTTTTATAACTTCGTTACAGGTGTTGCTCTGATGTTGGGATGATTAACCATTTTCCCCAGTACATCAGCCTCGAGGAAAATTCATGTGACTTGGTAAGTACGTGTCAGAGATCAATGTCAAGCATGTTTAATAGGGATGGTCTCTCATAATGTTTGTGTATGAAATTGAAGAAATAAAGATGCTTCATACATGTTGTTCAAGGAAGCCATCTTTTGTTAACTGCTTAAGTTGCGACAGGAGAGCACAAAAGGTCTACTCATTGTGTACCCCTGTGGAACAAAAGCTAGTTTAGCTCGCCCGTTATTATTTGGATGAGTAATCACGGCCAAGCTTGCACACCGAACAACTTGACGAACAGAAGTCACTTTGGCGTGCATAACCTTTGATATCGGTTGGCTTATAGCGAATGGAATAAATTGAAACATCGCGGCTTCCATCCTTTCTTTTTACAGACGGGAACAATAGCGCACGAGATTGGTCATACGGTGGGTTGGTGGCATGAGCACTCCCGAATAGACAGGAATGAATACGTTACCTTACGCCCAGAGAACATACAGGACGGCGAGGAAAAACAATTTGTTCAGCACGACAGTGAGACCTTTGGCATTCCGTATGACGTAGAATCTATCATGCACTACGCATCTACGGTAAGCACTGGGTTGGCTGACCTCGATGCATACAGAAAAATGGCGACAAAATTCTGCGGGCGCTACGATGCGTCAAGGCCGCCGAAACGTCTAGTTTCGACGCCGTTGTTGAAGACGAATAGGCTTAATTACTGGATAGTTAACACAGACTTGAGCCGTATCTCTGAAGTGTGTGTCGTGACACTCAGATGGGCACTTAGCCTGCATCCAATCCCGGTGTTGCCACACACCGCTGTTAAGGGAGGCTTTCAAGCCAAAATGCCACGCCCGAAGCTTGACAGTAATACATTATAATAGGCACGTGAACTACGCACGTAACAGCTTCAGCATATTATGCGGGGCCGTGGGGCACAAAAGAGGGGGTAGATGAGTTCGCTCAAGCTGACGTGAGTGGCAAAGTGGGTAAAGGAAAAAAGGGTAAGTTCTGATGACGTCCGTGGTGCGAATCTATTTTTCTTTCTTCGAGCCTGCTGTTAGCGAGGATCAATTTTGAAAGGTTTTCAATTTTATTTTTTACCCAAATTTGTAGCCTTAACTCGTTTAATTCAAGGAAGGGAAAAGTGCTTACTTCGACGGGTTATCGACTTGACCCCCTCTTAATAGCTTGGCACTCAAATCATATTATATTACCATATACACACAGCACGCTTCGAAGTGGGCATTTTGATTGAAGGCCGCGTTTAGTTTGACAGCAGTGGACGGTCGGATCAGGTGGAAGGAACAATACGTAAACCTCACCTTATTTGAGGCGAAAGAGCTACCGCCAACTTCAAATTCTGCCGTGCTTCACCTTGGTGAATTCTTTACTTGAGATACACGGACTTGATCGGGGAAACGGGGGAATAAATCAGGGAAGGCATTTTCAATGGGCCGGCATTCTGCTCCCGATGAGCCTCATTTGACCTTTTTGTTTCACCAGTATTTCTCCAAAAACGGCAAATTGACCATCGAACCAAAATATCCGCTGGACATGTTCAAAATGGGCAACCGCAAATTCTTCACATTTTACGACAAGAAATTTGCAAATGTCATGTACAACTGTTCCCGTGAGTATATTTCCTTTAACCTTTTCGTCTTAGAATGATTTAAGGCAACTCTGTTGCTTTTTGTATGAATTCTATTTCATAAATTCATACTTGCAGAAATTCCAGTCACCAGGGAATTAACACAAACTGTAGGGACAATAGCCAAAAGCACCACTCTGATTACACATCTTCCATATGGTATGAAAATGTATCCCAATCGCTTTGCCTAAAAGCGATTATAATTTTACCACATAAGCACACTTGTCAAAGATCGGGAGGAAGCTCCCAAGTCTTCCTCATCATTCAAGCAGGATATGATATTGTTCAAGGCTAACCATGTACATGTACAGTTATTCTTGTAATTTTTCCCCAGAGAATTGTGAAGATTTGCAGTGCGAAAACGAAGGGTACGTGGGAAAAGATTGTGTGTGTCACTGCAAGCCCGGTTATAGCGGTCAACATTGTGAGGTGGATAATGGAGATAGCGTCGACGACGGTGGTAAATTTCACAGAATTTTACTTCGACAAAGCATTCAAGTAACGTTCATTCTGCGTGTGAGCGACATGGTCGTTCAATTCACCTGTATCCACAACCGTTAATAAATGAGGCGTTTACAGCCAAATGCCTCTGTTTGAAGCGTGCCGGTAATACATTAAGGCATGAGATTAACGTTAAAGCTTACGGTGAGAATTTTCATGTAGGGTCCTCGGCATAAAAGAAGGAAAGAAAGGAGGTTGGTAGAACTGGCTTGCGTGAAAGAGTGGGTATAAAGGAATTGGTTGGAATAGACCAATTGCGGCCGCTAAATCACGTGACCTATATTGGGTTTCAACCCCACAGCAACGTGTGCTTTGAGTGTTGTTTACAAAAAAATACTGTAAAGTTACGATATAATACTCAGCACATCAGTAGTCTGAGTAAGGTACCTACCGTCGGCTTAAGTTTGGGTAAATGATACTAATGGAACACTTTGCTTTTGGCTGACGCCGTGTTTATTGTTATTTAATAACCACTACAGGTCACGTGATTCAGTGGACGCAATCATTCAATTATGCTGGACGCGTTTGGCACTCGTTTCCTTCATATTTTTCTCACATTTTTGGTGGTAAAGATCAGTTTTAAAATGTCAATTCCCGGCTTAAATTTGTAGTGTAAAAGGTTGTTTTGAAAGGTGCTTATATTGGTGTTGGAAACAGTTTTAAATCCAGCGGGGGACGGTGGGGGTACAGTTTTTCCTTAGAGACATGTTGCTTATTGTTTGTATCTTAAGTACTCCGTAGGCACAGCATCCCAGAAGCGGTACTACACAATGTACTATCGTTTTAGGGAGAGGTAAGCCTTTGCTTAAAACGGTACGACGCATACAGCACAGAAAAAATACATAATATATTACCGCCATCTTTCATACAGTGGCATTTTGGGTAAAAGCACATTTTTGTCCACAGCGGTTGGTATTGGTATCGGCTGCCTCGATTTATATTTTTAAAATTTCTTTAACAATAGGGATATTTCGAGTCCTTCACAGAACAACAACTGTTCTAATCTATCATTTAATGAGAAACTCGAAACAACAACGAATTGGAACCATAGCCGAATAAAATGAGTTTCTCTAATCTTGGTCGCTTACTGCTCTTTCGGTGCAACTTAATATATTCCCTTTGGCATATCTCTTTTCTCACCCTAGGCTGCATTCGGGAACTGGAAGCTGACATTAATATTGATAAAGTATTTACTTCTCCTGGTTACCCCAAAGGATACGGACCCAATTTGTTTTGTACCTGGCTGATCACGGTAGGTATTTCGATTTGTCAAGTAACACAAATATTGGGTATGAAATGTCGTAATCAATCCCCAAAGCTCAGTCCAACATGGAAAATGCCATAAATATATATCCTTCAATGCTAATCCTTTTATCAAAGACGCATGAAGCAATGGTCACGATATTTCATATTTATTCTCTTTTCCTAAAAATTAGGCTACTTGTATTTTCTTTTGGCTTCGATCCTATGATCCCAACTGTAGGCGTGTATCTTTACTGCTGCTTGTAAGGAAGTTCGATTCACAGATCTTCATTCCTTTCAGGAAGAATTCGGCAAAAGGTGATGGGCCTACATACCAAAAATGTGGTAGACAAAATCAGGCATTAAAAGTCCAGATGATTTCTCCGTAATAGTGAAAGCCAAGTCCTAAGATCTGTAGAAAACTTCCGAAGAATTCGGAGCCGTTGCAAGCGGAAAAACAAATTGAGGATTAGGAAATTTTTTTATTAACAGGGTCCAGAGGGCACAACCGTTTCTCTCAGCTTTCTTGTATTTGACACAGAAGCGTCACATTGTCAAAACGACTATGTCAAAATAAGAGAAGGCCCGGACATATACAATGGCGGGGACAGGTGAGATTAATCGTTTTGCTTATCGTAGTTTAATAAAGCGACATTCTTAAGACAAAGAAGATTTTTTTGGCAGACTAGGGATGCTTTTTCACGTCAACGGAACAGCGCATTCGATGTTCCAACTTGGGTAAGCAAAGGGAACATGGCATTAAAACAATGGTTACAATGAAAACAGCCTTACCTCTGCAACCGATAAAGAAATCTGTTGTGGCGTTATAAGAGAATGCAGTATCTTGTCAACAGACAATTAAGGCTCTTCCGATTTGTTTGTTTGGAACATACATTATTCCATTTCAAATTTTTATGAAATTTTAAACCTTCGACATCAGGCTTTGAACATCGTCAACATACCTCCTTAAGGCTCCTTGAACCAAAGAGCTCAGAAACTTAAAGTACATGCAGATTTATATGTCATTACTACCGAGTCGGCACCACGCTTGTGGCCAGGATGTGAACGCCCATTGAGTATCTCTTTGTCAACTCTGCTTTGAGCAGAAGAACCCCCTCATCGGTTGAAAAGAGTCATGCTGGTGGGGAGTGCTCATTTTGCCAGTGTGCGACTGCAAGCTGTGCATTTCGTACTCGTTTGTGAGTCGGCGAAGTGTATTTCCCACATCAGGGGCCTCTTTTACTCTAAGTTCCCTCGAGGCCCATCCGATTCGTAAGTGTGACGTCACTTCATTTTAAACCGCGCCCACTGCACATAGAGTTAAATGGAAGCGGAAGTTACCGCGCAACTTGTCTATTCATCCAACTGTAGCGTATAATTCGTGGTGCGTGTGCGTGTATGACGAAGAGTACCGAAGTTTGACGTCACTGTGAACCAGAAGTGCAGTGCAAATGAATGGAGTACGCGCGCGTGTTGTTGCTGGTTCTCGCGCTAATGCCTTTTACACTAATTGTGCGCGTGACGTATTCACTTCTTTACTCTATAGAGTGTTGCGACTTGACCCAATTAACGCGCATGTGCATGTTACTGATCGTGCGCGCGAGGGCGTGCCACTGTGGTGTACAGCGGTATCTACTTGGATTTTAGTCTGTAGGTTTTGAAATCAAAGTGTTTGGTCCTCCTGTCTGTTAGACACAAATAAGAACAATTCAGTTAGCAATATTTTGGTGCGCAATCTGAACAGAAAAACGTATAATCTGAGCATTGTCCTCCTATGATTGACACAGTAACATCGGTCGGTATGAAATGTTTAAAAAGTGCGCTTTTCGGTACACGTTATCCCACAGGATGTCAAACATTTCCATATACTGAGGGAGAGCATTGCACAAAAAGTGTGTCACAGAAAGTGTAATCGTCTAATCCTCGAAAATAATACCGTGCCATTATTGTTGGAGAGTAACCTTTTTGTCGCACTTTCCATCTTAAGATACTGTGGCCACACCCCGCCGGAGACAATCCAATCTGTGGGCAATCGTATAATGGTTATGTTCATGTCAGACGGTATCATAAGCAAGAAAGGCTTCTTGGCGCAGTACCGAGCAGACAACGTCTCGGTCCCACCAACCACCACCCAGCCTCCGCTTCCCACTACCCTGCCCGCAGAAACAACTCAGGCTTCAACCACTACCCTGCCCGCAGAGACAACTCGGGCTTCAACCACTACCATGCCCTCAGAGACAACTCAGGCTTCAACTACTACCGAGATAATAATTCCAAAATGCCGTGAGTCTTTTGTTTCATTTGATTATTTTTTGGTGTCTATCTATGAGATCGGTTTACAATACCGTGTGATAGGCCTCCCTTTAGAACGAGGGCGAATTTTCCCGGCTAGTGGGAGTTAGACATTTCCCTGCGTAACATTTTAATGCCTTTGTAGGGGGCAAAGCTAAATCGTGGGACTCTACGCGCCCTTTTGAAAGGAAGAAAAGTGAAAAGACCTCCTCCCCGCCAATTACCTGTTCTCTAATTTTTCCAAACCAAAACGTACTCTTAGTTTGGTGGGACATGGCCCCTTGAATCCGCCAATACCCTGTGGAGGCTCTAATTTCGACCTTTCTGGTAAAAGTCGATTTAAACTTCTACGCTCCAAGAGCAATTTCGTTTTATTTTATTTCTTTAGAAAGGCGACAACAATAAGTCACGTTGAAAGGTTTTGAACGCACGTTTCAATTTAACATTTCCTGTGGGATGGCGCAGTGAGTCGCTTTCCCTGTTGAGATATTTGATATCAAGTCTGACGATTGGTTTACTTTCGCCATGTCTAATGACCTGTTCGCACAGAAACCGTTGAAGGAACGTGCGGGGGGACTTTCAAGAAAGATTCAGGTTGCATCGCGTCTCCCAATTTTGGGCATGGCGAGTACAACAACGACGAAGAGTGTGTTTATTACATCCAGGTGAGAAGTATTTCATGTCAATTATGGATGGCCATGGCTTAAAATCTAGATGGAATTTCAGTTCGTGGTCATCGGTAATTTCATCTGTGCAACATGTACTTTTAAGCTGTAAGGTAACAGATTTGTCACTAGATATACACCTTGAAAGAACACGTTCACATTTCGCAAATTCTGCGGGCTATGCTACGAAACTGTGGATCCGAAAACGAAATGAAAAACCCGTTTTTAAAGGTCAAATCATTTGCAAACCATGTACCGACAAAGAAGTATTTGAAGAACTACGTGGTTGCATGGAAAACGTGATCCCGAAAGAAGGTTATCCTCTTATGGAAGTTGATCCATACTCAAAGTTCTTAATTAAAACGCTATTCATGCCTGCCTTCTTGCTTGACAATGCAGGTTAAAGCAGGCAAACGAGTCGAATTGAGGGTGGAACAACTCGACGTAGAACATCAGGCTACGTGCACTTGGGACAAAGTAGAGATTATTCCTGGTCCAACACTTGGCTCTGTGAGGTAAGCCTTAGAGGGCTCATGCATTTAACTTAGGTGGGAACACAGCTGGCGGACATTTCTTTATACTCTTGTTAAATGCATTTGCATCCTTTTTGGGTAATCTTATTGGGGAGTGCCCTTTTTATAAGATATTAAAAAGCTTGAAAATAATTGTCTATGCTATTGTGGCACTCGAAGGCGCGGTAGCTGTGATATCACGAAAGGAAGACCCTATCCATGTCAGAGTTCTTGTCAAAATTTAGAATATAAGACTTGTTTAATTTGCTTTCTTGGTGACTGCCATGAATCGAAATATCAGTGAATGACCAAAGAAACTTTTAAGATTTTGAAACATCCAAAACTAGCAAAATTCGTATTGAAATAGTTGGATCATTGAGGTTTCACACTTTTCCTCAAGAGCATGCAATTTTTTTTCGTTTACAGATGTTATGATTAACTAAAGTTAATCTCAAGTGACTCTTTTTCCTTCTCAGGATGTGCGGTGAATCGCCTCCAGAGGGCACTATTGTGTCACTGGACAATACGATGACGGTCAAGATGATCAGCGATGCACTCGTCGCTGGAGGGGGCTTTGCAGCGAGCTTTGAAGCCATTACTGTGGTCTAAAGACAATGACAAACGCCCTGCCGCCTTTGGAACGTTCAAAGTGTTAGTTCTTGCCTACCAGCGGCTGGAAAAATGGCCTGCTGTCAATTTTAAACTTCCATGCAGCTATAAAAAAATATCAAATTGATCCTACCAAACTTAGGCTTTTATAAGATTTAAACACTCATTGCTGTTTTAGGCAAAGCCTAAAAGCCAGTTTCTACAAAATAGGCAAGCCATATACCAGTCGTTGGCAATAAGGGAAAGGCCTACCATTAGGGTATATCATAATAATGAAAATGTAATATTTCAAAATTTCATTAAAAGAAGTTGGCTCATTACATGCGATTTAAGTTGGTTCAATTGCTAGCATTTTCAGCCTTTTACGCCATACCTGGTCACCTCTCTCTTCGCAACAAAATCGTTAGACTCAAAGTTTTTTTTATTAAAGCGGTTCACAGTCATTATGCCTTCACATTATGTGACTTTCACATTATTATACCAAGCTGTTTCACAGTACTGCATACTTAAGTAATATAATCAGAAAACGTACTGCTGAAGTGTACATCTAAAAGGTTTTGTAGGATTTCACTTAACCGTCACAGCCGGGTGGGGGAGGACTCGCCCCCCCTCCAAGAACTTGGCTGCGCCATGCTCGATTTCCTTTTTAACTTTGCATATATAACGTAAAGAAGCGCATGAACAATATCCAGGTGAAGTTTGAACTCAATCAATCATATGGGTTTGTTGATGCGGGCATTTGAAGTTTAAGGCTACACGCGTGTCAGGGCGCGTGCAGTGGGTACCACAGTGGGGAAAAAGTAAACACTTTTGGCTTAAATGTCTTGGAAAAATGGGCGCTGCGCGAGAACGGTACGCTTGATTTTTGCAAAGATGTTGTCAAAATGACCACAAAGAGTCTCCTAGACACCCTAAAAGGCTTAGCCTTAAAAAATACACTGCCACGATATCGGACAAAAACGTTAAGGGGGCGCATACAAGTTCATTTACTCAGAGGAGTAACCGTCATGCTAAAAAAAAAGTAAAACGGAAATAGCACTGACCAAGTATGTGTTTCATAATTTGAGGTGAATCACATTTATCAGATCATAAGTAACGTCCTATGTGGCTCACATATCGGTAACTAAAAACTGGGATTTCAAGTTCTTAAGATATTCTCTGAGAGTGAGGTACCAACTGATTAGAAAAGATTTCTGCTTGCATTACTTAACTTTGAGATAATCACATCGTATGTTAGGTAGATTCAGAACAAATTATATCGTGTTCTTCTCATTTCAGTTTTTTAGAAAGAGTGTCTATGAAATAAAAGTATCAAGCAAAGCAACAGAAAATGGTAAGACTTGGATGTCCTTTCACCAGACTAATTCTTCTCCATACCACGAATGATGTAGGTCTATAAACAGGTATGCACATGTATATTAACAAACTCACTTTTTGGGGGGGGGGAGCGAAAACCCCGAGATTTCCTATTTTGAATTAAATTTTTCATCACTGCAAACATGGTTGTTGAACAAGCTGCAGTCTGAAATAGATTAAACTGTAAGATAATTCCGTCAGTCGCACTGCTATGAAACCGCAAGCCACCGACATGAGTTGCAAGTCCCCTTTACGAATCGAAGTCGATCGGAAAATCAGTTACGAAAGCGTAAATTGAAAAAAAGGGAAGCATGACTGACCATGGCTCTGATCTTCTTATTCATGTATATTTCCATTAGGGTTGGATATTCAACTCGCTGAAATTGAGAGAGGAACGTGTACCCTTTTAAGACTGCCTATTTGACCTTTTACCTTAGATATAGAGAAATTGTGGACAATGGAAGACGTCGAGACGCTTGATGGCGGCAAACATACCGGTCGTTTTTCAGACGCGCTCGTTGTTCTGAGCATGCGTGTTTAGTTCTGACCATGCAGATATCTTCCATTAGGAACTTGCTTCAATAGAGAAAGGCACATACTGTATACCCTTTCCGCGATGTTACGAAAATTGCCAAAACTGTTAAAAGCCACTGCAATGAACCGGCAGGAATATACCGTAAATTTACATGAATTTGGCGTTTTCAATCTTAGCTTACCTCATTTCCGTAGGGATTCCTTTAGGTTTACAAACGGTGTACGAGGTTTATCATCCACTTCGAAATCCACTGTCAACAGGCTACCTTGCCCTCTCTCTGAGGTTAACTTAACACCTCGTCGAAGGTGATCTCAGGTCTCCCCAAATTCCTCAGGCTTGCCCTACTCCTATACACGTGAAAACCCCTTATCCTTTGAAATGAAGAAATATCTCAAGCGCGCATACTAAATCAGGCACGGCCATTGTACCGCCAAGGCCACCACGTATGCATATTCAGCATTCAAACCAATGCAAGTAACAGAAATGGCTCTGATTGAATTCCTTGGGTGTGGCAACCTCTCCTTACTACCATTTAAACAACGACTGTTTTTAATTCCAAGCCACACAACATCAAACTCGGTTCTTACAAACGAGTACCCTGCAAACACAAAAGAGGGAAATCCTCACTCTCAAGAAGAGTGCCTGAGTCCCTTATAAAGCAACTCCAACAGAGTGAAACCACTCCAAAAAGAACGTAGAGCTGTAATAAAAAGAAGAGCTGGTATAAAAGACAACTATTTTTCGAGTTGTTCTTTATATGAACCCTGAGTGGAAATTTTACTCTTTATAGGAGTGTCTCCAGCTTTTTTAAAGAGAGTTTTTTGGCTACCTTTTCAGAGTGGTTTCACTCTTGAAATGGTTTCAAGAGTGGTTTTATTCACTCTAGTTGCATTCAGGGAGAAATATGTCGTTGAAAATGTTCATTCCGTGACCACCAATTTAAGATTTTGGACGTCATAGAGACCCAACTCGATAAACTGGCTGACTCACATGTGAAGAAAGGGGAACTGAGAAAAGACAGAAAGCATGTTCTATCCTCACTCCTCCCTTCATTCTGCCGGCCCTATAGTTGAAAACATGGACATGAAATCTGTCTCAATGAAGAGAAGAGCATGCACTTTCTACAAGATGACCTGTTTTGGACCATTGACAGACTTTTTAACCTAAAACACAGAGGCAACCTTGCATTAAAAAGAGAACGGTGCAGGAAAGTGATTAAAACCTGAGCTAGGAAACGTTCACAAGTACTTTCGCTCAGTGTTTATGTCACTTATCGAGCAAGATTTTTAGCGCCATTTTCTACAAGGTCTAATTTCCTGGGCTCTATGTCTCCACAGTGTGGCACTGACATTCAAACAGGTCTCTGATGCAATATTTATACAGATCCTGACAACAAGCAAGTTATTCAAAGCCTTTCTAGTCAAAGGGACCCCCAGTTCGTGCCTACGAATCTCTAATATATTCATACATAACCCCTCCTGATCAAACTTGAAGAAAATGCCGTTGCGTTACCATTTCAACACCACGACTAAAACGCGTCGCAACATCCACGCATGTGTGTGAATTTGTTACAGATGTTTAATTACTGCGTCACAAATGTTCAGAAGTCCGACAAGCCGACTAGCAGATGAAGTTGCTATAAGATAGCAATTTTCTGGAGGTAGAATTGCATAACAGACTGAACACACTCAGTCTCGTCTTCAGACGCCTTCTGCAACTTGCAAGTAATTGTATAAGCGCGTACATAGAGTTTCACGCTTGTCTTGCGATAACTTGACAAAATTGTACTGTTGAAAGGCTCCTTGAACGCTCAATGAAGCTTGGACATATTTGAATGCATTAAGATTCTTAGGCTAGGATAGGGCAGATCGATTTTTACTTCCCTGTACTAGTCTGCGTAATTAGACACTCCTTATGCTTTCATTACAATTTCACCGGCAGATGTAAGTCTAATTGGGTCGGCATGATAAACCATTATCCCCAGGCTATATTACTCTCCGAAGAACAGTGCAACACGCGGACCAATAACTCTACAACAGATGTGAGAATGAGTGAGTAATTGCCGAAAAACACAAACCTCTTAGAATTTTACCAAAAAAATTGAGAATCTTCTGCAGACTGTTATTGATGCGTGAACTCGAATTTTGTACAAAGTTCACTGAACTAGAGCTAACTTACAAGCCTGGTTACAAACTGGAGGTTTTAAAATTCACACAAAGTTTCGATGAACAGAAGAAATTATGACGCCACTGTGACATTGTTAAGCTCAAGCACATCAAAATACAAATGAGAAAAGATCCTTTTATCAAAGATTTGTGAGGTTGAGCATTCCCTTTGCCATTTCCCTGGCAAATAGAGAGGCTGAAATATCAAATCAACAACTCATGTTGTTAAAAAGTAGTTCTAATTGTTAAATGATTAAGATGTTTTTTGTCTCTGGACATTGTGGCAACGAGCTACATGATCGCCGACATTGTTGACCGGTGATGGAATGCTGGTGAGTGGTGATTTTGTACACGGATCGACAGGTTGGAACAACGTAAAGGATTTCGGGCAGAGTATTCCGTCAACTCGCAGGGTAGCTTCGCCAACCCGTCCACGGCCTCGGCCACGGTCCACACCACAACCAAACCCAAGTAAGGAAACCCTTGGCCCCTGGCTATCGACAGAGCTTCCAACGACTTCCAAGGCGACTGGAAAATGTGGTGAGCCCCGTGATACTGCCATGTCAGAGCAAATTCAAGTCAAAATAACGGTTTAAATGAATCGAAAACTACTCTTCACTGGCTTTATTTGCAATTCGAACTTATTACTTAAAAGTGGAAACAAGATTACTTGATACACGAGGAATGCAGTCTTCCTGGCATCTTAGGGCCAAATTTGATTTGCTACAATGCTAAGTCAATTGTGAATGAATTCAAATCATTTGAATGCTCGAAAACAGACCCTTTGCAACATGGGTGAAAATTTAATGCATGACTACTATACGAATAAATTTTACCTCCTGATAAAGGCGCAGAGAATGACAGGCGTGCCGAAAGTCATTTAAGTCAACATTCTGCAACTGTGTTGCAAATTGTTCCCGTAATCAGGGAAGAACTCAGTTAAATCACTTTATTTTAATGAATTTTAATTACAGAAGCTGTGACAGGAACATGAGGTAGATATTTCACGAACTCCGGGTGCGCAGCATCCCCTAATTATGGGATCGACGTATACAGTAACAACGAGGAGTGTGTTTTTCATGTTCAGGTATGCATACATGAGGCCTAACATCTGTTTCAGCATGAAACCCATTCCTGTGAATTTGAAATTCCAAGTTCTAAGCATAGGACTATAATACCCCTACTTATCTGAGCAAGGTAGACAAACCCGAGTTCTGTGAATCAATGGTTAAATAAACTTCAAAATTAACTAGAAATCAAAAGTAAAAACGTGCGATCCGAAGTTGACGTAGACAGTCGTGGCAGCAACTCATACTTGACATTTGACCCTGTCGGGTACATTGTTTAAAACCTTGAAATAGTTGGTTGAAATCTGGAAGTGTTTTAGTTCTGCATCCTTGATTCCAGAAGTTAGACCTGCTTTCCGTTTCAAAGACTGATATGCAACACTTTAAAACCCTGGAACAAGGGAATAGGGTGTTAGATCAGAGAAATATCACAATGTGTCAATTTGTTTTAGCACACGAACCTCCAGTGCAACTTTTGCCAGCTATTGGATCGGGTTTTGGTCGAGGCACGACATATACAACGTCATCGCCAGTTTTGTGTCAGGTTGAAGCTGGTAACGCATTCATCTGACGGTGGAGTCCCTTCACATGGAGTATCACGATACCTGTCTCTGGGACCAGCTACAACTTGAAGTCATTCCAGGGGGCAAGCTCGGCTCAGTGAGGTAAAGTGTTGAACATATTCATTCACCAAACCACTCATCAATTGAGTTCCTGAAGTTATTTTTCCCTGTCTTTGTAAAGTAAGGTTGTGGTTGGATCAAGGTCCCCAAATATCTTGCTTTAATGAGAGCAAAATGTGTGAAAGTAGTGGAAACAAATATATCAGCTATCAGGGTGTGTGGTTGAACCTCCCCAGTGGTTCATTTGTGTTGCTGGACAACACGATGACGGTGGAGATGACCATTGACCCGAGGGGGCTTTGCCACCAGCCTCGAGGGCTTCACTGCTGGGGCAGACGTACCAGCCCACAAGTGGATAATTACAATGAAAACGCCCACTACTTGAAGAGTTCAACTGCGCCTCATATAGTAATATTTTGATGTATGGGTTAGCTTAGAGTTGAATTAAGTATCTCTTATATTTGGAAATTTCGCTCTTTGAAATGCCGGGACTTGGTGCTAAAAAGATTTGTTGATATTTTAAGAATGTTATGACTTTACATCTGCTCTAAAGCAGCAACAGGGAGAAACTTCAAGTTTTTGGTCTTTCTGCTGATGAAAATTTCCACTATTAATGAGCCAAAGTGCGATGACATCAAAGGCAGAAAAGTTGTGTCTCCACTGAGAGCGTTTACAAATACAATGTATCACACTTTCCCACATTTTCTTGGCGTAAGTTCCTTTTTGCACGTTTATCGTGTTAACCAGCCTGTTTGGACGATAGAAATTACTAACATTCCTTAAAACTTTGATGGGGGGTAATTTTGAAGGACATTGCGTTGGTACTTTTTCTTTGATACTCTCTTTCGTTGAGAGTGCCTCGTGTGACAAAAGCGAAATAGCGCCCTCTCAAATTATTGATGAAAGGATTGCCTGCGAATGAAGAAAATACCTTCCAACATGAAAACCCACGTCCTCTATATTATACGCTAAATTGACGTGGAAAAACACGTGTACTGTACATTCAACTTCCCACAACTGATTGAGAGGTAGCGTGGCCGAGCGGTCTAAGGCGCTGGTTTTAGGCACCAGTCATTTCGATGGCGTGGGTTCGAATCCCACCGCTGCCATTTTTTCTTTTTTCATCATCTCTGTCCGAAATAAATCGTTGATTTCAATTAGGGTCCATTTAATTAATCACCGATGTGAAGTTACTTTTGCCTTTGAGAACGATACCACAGGGTCAGGGACGCCAACAGTGAAGCGGGCATATGCGCATAAAACTCTCGAAGCACACTCATCGTACCAAACGCAAAATCCAATCGAAATTTCAACGATCAAACACTTAGTCTAGTTTCAAATGTTACATCCAATCAAACATGGATTTTTATTCTTCCGGAAAAAGCATACATTATACAGCCCTTACTGTCAGAAACGGATTGAAACTGTACGTACTCATATTTTACAAAAAAAAAAAATCTTGAAATTATCAACAATATAATCGGACAAACCCCTCTCAATTCCCTAATACATGTACATGTATTTGAAGTTTAACTTTCACCGGTTAAATTCAAGTGTTCCTGCATTACCAAAACTCACGTTACATACCCAACTCTTATAATCATACATGGCCTTTTGATAATCACTACAAATGCATAAATTATTACCCAAAAACAAAATCACACTAACATTTTCATTGCCATAACCTCGAAGACAAGCATCTTTTTTCAGAAGAGATATTTCGGGCGCAAGATAAAGTTGGTTGCAGTGTTTAAAAACGTTCCTTGCTTTAACGCTCAAAACAATTAGAAGTCGTCCAATCTCATTAGGATGGCTGTATGCAGCTAGCTACTACGGAGTTCCTTGGTTTATTCAAGGCGGCTTATTTTTCGCATGCATTGCCTGTGGTAAGACAGCTGTAGAAATATCTGAATTTCCAAGGAAGGCTGAGGGAAAAACCAACCATCTCGCGGTTCTTCGGACCTTCAATTTTACGCCAGTAACAGGTCATCTCCGACCCTTTGCAAAGCAAGATTGGAAAATACAACATGTATTTCAACTCGCAGTGGAGGAATTGAGCCGCAGTTGATATTCGTGTCTGCTTGTTTTTACCAACCCAAAATAGCGAACAAATGGTGTCCTTTTCTCACACTGCTATCCCTGTTGTACATAAATTCTTTTCAGTAATACTAATTCATACTTTCGAATAATTTATACATACATAAAATTGTTACAATGTCTACATTTAATTGGAAAAATAACAGAAGAGAAATGAAACCAAATCAACAGGAAGTAAAGGATCTTATGAGATAACACAAGGGCAGTTGGCAGGGACAATTTATAATTTCTCAATTACTACAAAGTATTTAGCTCAATGACGTTAATGAATTTCAAATATTTAAGCCAAATCTGTGTTTTCGAGAGACAAAATCATAAAACAGCCTCATCCGGTGAGGCAACTCCAACACTATCTACAGCAAAGGGCAAAGCAACATTTCTGTGCATGTTATGGATCTTAATCAAGGTTTCAACCACGGAAATACGAGCAAAGGTTTACCGGATGCAACGCTAAACAGCACAAGACTTCCATCAGCTAGGGTGCAAAGCTCTAGGTTCGATGTGGAATTTTTTGTACGTACAAGTACCAGAAATATTCTAATAAACGGATTAAGGTATGATTGCATTTTGTGTCTCTATCAGTTTTGTTTGTGCTTTTCAATTATTATCAATCAGCTTCATTATGAATTTGACTTCGAGAGAAAAATGCAGCGTGGATACAAGAACATCTTTCTAAAAACCAGCCAGGTTTATGGCGTGCTCTGGCCTTTTGCAATGCCTACAAAAGACGCTGTGCTGGAAAGTGAGAAAAAGCAAAATGGGGAAAAAGTACACTAGTCTGAGGTACGCATTCAGACCTAGCGGGCCACATTCAAAAGAGAGATCCCAATGCGTTTATACAAGATCTAGATTATGTTTGCTTGAATGCTGTTAGTCCAACTGGCCTTTGAGCAAGAGGGCCGTGCGTAGCGCAGACACACTGTATAAGGCAGAGTCCGAATCACTTGGCTGTGACTTGAAATTACACGGGGCTCTATGGCAAGAGGTTGTGGCTACTGCCACAGACTTGTGTATTATTTCAAGCCGTAGCCATGTCATTTCAGACACGGCCTACACAGTACGCAACCTCGTGCTACGATCGGTTTGGCTTTTTCACCTCTAAAAGACAGAAAGTTGTAGATTGAATGCTGCACCATCTGATTCAAAGTATTTCAGTTTGGGTTAAATGTACTGCATTCCCTGATCCAATGTTATCAAATTTCACACACACTTTCAAACACAGTGAATTCAACATAAATACTAGTATGCTTTAATTTGATATTTTTAGGTGATCTACGATCTGATATAACTGCTTAAAGTGTCACTCTGAAACTGTATCAAAGTTTTACCAAATAAAAAATTTGGATTCAGTTGTTTATGAGGGGGGAAAACAACCTAGCTTCTTCAACAATCTCTGGTGAAGTTTGGGTTCACTGTGGTGGGATCAAGGTTGAGACATGGGTTGGCAAAAGGTTATGGGTTGCAAGTCATTGGTCACATATGCCTTGGTGAAATACCCTTGCTTGAATTTTTTTAATGTATTTCTTACTTGCTGTGACAGGGTGACAGGGACTGTCCCTGTTTAGGAATGGAAAATTTCTAATAAACGATGTCACGAAATCACACATTGAAATCTGCATGGCGTCTAATCTCTTAACTCAAATGACCAGCCATTTCTCAGTGTCTGATTTTTCATCAAAGCACGGGAACACTGTGCTGGGACCGGAGGCTGGGTCTCCGACCCCTGGGGTGGAGGAAACCGATGATGTGAAGTTCCCTTTGGTCTGACTCTCAACCTCTGTTGTAGAGAGTGAGCAGCGAGAGAGCCATTCGGACATTTCTTCCCCACACTCTCTGTTGTCCTGACTTGTCGTGGCAACGAGCCACAACTTTTCTGAGATTTCAAACATCGAGTCTGAGCTCTCTTTTTCTAGGTGCGTTAGAGGACTTTTTCGCAACCAATCTGAGTACTTATCAAAGCTGTTTGATTTTTTGGAGAGCTCCACCAATGGGGATGGAGCTACGTCAACGGATTCCTTTTCACGGTTCTGCACAGCAAGCCATTTGTAATCTTCATCTGAAATCTGGGGGAGTTTGGTTTTCTGGTCAACTTTGATCAACCAATCAGATATCTCCTCTGACCTTTGGGCAAAATAGGCTGTCAAGGGGCACTGGAAAGGACACTGGTAATTGGTTGAGGTTATGCTTGAGTCGCTTTGCTTAGATAGCCAATTAGAGGTCTTGTCTGACTGGGAGTGAACAAAAATTTCGAAGGCCGGCGTGGAGTACGGAGTTTTGCTGTGATCTATGCTCTCACGGTGCAGCCAATTGGAAATGCTAGAGGTTGGGATTGCATAGAAATCAGAACCAAGATCAAGGTTTTGAGGAGGGTCATTGTGTTGGATCAACCAATCCGAATGCCTTTCTGATCTCTCCTTGAAATACCCATCCAAGGGAGACGCTGGATTGGTTGTAAGGCATGACCGCCCCTGCACGAGCCAATCAGACGGCTCACTAGAAAGGTGCTCGAAGTATCCATGTGCCACCTCACAAGGACCTCTTTCCTTGACCCCACTCATTAACCAACTGGACATATCCTTTGATTGCTGCTTTATGAAATCATCAATGGGAGAAGCCATATCATTGGACGTTGTGTGTACTTCCTTGCCTCGAGCCAACCAATGGGATTGCTCCCCCTGGGGAAGCAGCCAGGACACCTCACCCTCGCCCGATAAACTACCATTTTTTCCCCGGTTCTTACAGGTCTTGCTCTGCGGCAACGAGGACGACAGTTCGGCGTGGCCGAGACAGCAATTGGTGTCGCAGACACACTCGGAGAAACTCTTACAAGGCTCGTTGGCTCGGCATACATCTTCCACCTTGGGGAGAGCCCTCTTCAACCACTTACTCTTGTCTTCCGCCTCCTGCCAATCCAGGTTCTCCTCTCCTCCGGTGTCCTCCTTGGAACTCGCCAGCCAAGTGTGGATATTGAACGCTGTCGAGTCAGGAGCAGGGGTGGATGGGACAGCCTCTTGGATGCAGAGGAGAGCGTCAAGATTCTCGATTTCGTAGAACTGGGAAAAAGCAAAGGAAAGTGTAATTTTCCCTGATGTCTGAGCCCTATTTGGTCGAAAAACCAGACCTCAGTGTAACATTAACTCAAATTACAGAATTTCAAGATATCATGCAAGACTTATTGGTGAACAGAGCATTGTCGAATGCGAACCATTTGATTACCCTCTATTTCGTATTTATCATATGCTGTGCACAAAGTATGGCAGAGAGCCAAGTGCAAGGACTTCAAACATAGAGGATACAACTTGAACACAGCAATTTTAAAATTCCCCTCCATTTCATGTGTACATATGTATCCTTACAATTTCCGAATTTTAAATTCCGACTGTATGCTGTACCGAGGCCTGTGAAATGTGCGAGTGGGTAAACAATGAGAAGTCATCGAGCTATCAGCAAAAATATGCCCTCGGTTGGCTTCATGACTGACCCACACGACAATCTTAGCAGCTTCACTAAGAACCAATTAATGCCTGCACAGGGTTCTCACAGAAATCTGAAAAACACATTCCATGACTTATCCAAGACTTTCTGAACTAAAATATGACAATTACCATGACATTTAATGTCATTTTTGTAGAGAAAAGTTGTTTGGTATTATGAAGTGGAAGACTGCCATGGTCACTACTACAGACTGACAAGGATAGCCTGTAAATTTATCATTAATTCTGTTATCACATAAAAAGAGTCCCATCAAAAATAACCCTTTCATGGTCTTGATTTCCATGACTGTTTTCATGACAGGGGGATTCCAGGACATACAATTTTTTCTAGTTTTCATGACTTTTCCTTGACTTTTCAGGAAACTTTTTTCCAAGCTTTTCAGGATATTCCATAACAATGGGAAACCTGCTAGATTAAAGGCTTTGTTCAAAATGTGTGGCTGTGGCTAGGAAAAGCATACAAATCTATGGGTATCAGTTGCAGCCGCTAGCTAATAGCTCACATAGGTATACATATCATTGCTAGCCACAACTACGTGGCTAAGGTCTGCCTACCTGCGGGCCTTGCTCTGAGGCAACACAAGCGCATGCGGGCTTGGGACATGACGGCACACCCTCAACTTTCTCTTCTTCTTCGTCTTCCATCTTCTGTTCGTAATTGACTAGCCATGCTTTGGCATCTTCCGATGTCTCCCTGTTTGAAGGCGACACAAAGAATCCCTCCGTCTTTAGAGTTGGAGATGGAAATTTGTACGAAGATGACACTTTGGGGACTACAACGCCCTCCGCATATGAAGAGACGAATGTGTTCCAACATGAACTGAAATGCATTTTGCCTAAATCTAATATGAAAAATGTGAAAATCCACCACCGGGTTTAGCAGGGTGAAAAATGAATCTGGAAGATTTGAAAGGACACATGACTAGAAGATTTGAAAGGACACATGGCTGGTCACATGGATTGTAGCATACTTTAAAGGATTCCAGAACGTTCCTAGAAAAAAAACAAAGGGAATTAACTTTAAGCTTTACCTATAGTAGCTCATGTCCATTTTGAATTGCCGCTGGGCGTGGTCTCGATCTAACAGCCAGTCACTCAGCGGTGAGTTCAGGAGTTCGTTGATGAAATTGAAAGTTGCCTGGGGCCCCGAGGAAGGCCACACCTTGGGTTCTGTGTCCACCGGCCGATCGGGCAGGATGTCAATGTCCGTCTCTGATTGGTCCTCGTCAACCATTACGAAATCGTCTGGCAAAGGAGGAACAGTGGAGAGACATGAAGCAAGACACGCAAGACCGAAGCATGCACTTGCAATTTCCATAAATTGAATAAAGCTCCTTAAAAATCAAGACTGTAAAGTGAATAGTTACAGACAATACACTGCACTCAACTAAAAGACTAGAGCACAAAGAAAAGAGTGAGAGTTGTGGAATGACAGTGTGCATCCGGCGTGTAGAATTAGTGGTTTTGTGCGATCGCTCACTCGCGCTGCCTTATCGATCGATCCTGCATGAAATCTGTCAACTCCACTATCATCAGTCCATCGCAAGGTCATTTTGAAATGGGAAAGTAAAATCTGAGATTTTGTTAATGATCACCTGACCATGCAGACTGTGCCAAACAAAAATCTACAGGCAGTTTTGCAGGATCCACTTTTGACAGCATGATTTCTTCCAACTCTTCCCACACTGTCTTGATTCAGAGATGCTCAGTTATAGAGAGCGTTGCAGCACGAGTGTATCAATTGTTGGAAGCAACATGGTGGACAATGCCTCAATAGCTACATGCTTGTGCTGAACACATGATGAACAGCTACTTTGGTTCCAAAGTCTGAAGTTGGCACTACTCTCTCTATGTACTGCTCTAATTCGGGCGGGTTCTGCTACTATCGTTAACCTGTTGACTGCCGTACGCAACAAGGTCCCACATCATGGTACGCTATTTGTACAACGCTGCATTGTACGGCTTTGGACTAACAAGAAGAAAAATGTACCTTCATCAACAATGGAATTGGAGGTTGTGTTCCTGGCAAGCCAATCAGCAGGCTCATAAGAAAACTGGTAGGATGTAGTCTGTAGAGACAGAAAAGCTGGTATTAATCAGGGGTATGATTGGAAGAAATTGAAAAATCCACAAAATAATAAACAGACAGTTGGAGGGTCCCTCAGGAGCGCGAGGTCCATGGTATACGCATGTGTGTGCCTATAGGAACCCCTTCAAATACCCATTTGTAAAAACACTGTAATGGTAAACTTCAGATTTTAAAACTGCCTGTTTGAAAAATCCGGAAATCAGGAAAACCTGAAATCAGAAAAAATCCAGACAAATCTCAGCCCTGATTAAAGATATGAATTTGAATATATTCTAATTTTCAGTGCAACACTTTTTAGAAAAAACTATACATATCAACTGTCTCAAATCCATCTGAACTTTCCATAATAATGGTCCTTCACTTACAGATCTTGGCTATTTATAATGACCCATGTACTGATTTCTTCATTCAATCTTTATGTGGAAGCTCACAGGTATGTTTCTCTACACACGAGGTAAGTTAAACTTTAAGCTACCAAGAAAGACGATAACCCCCAACCCCCATGGTGTATGTAAAATTAGGATTGAAGACTCTTAGGGTTCAGCTTTAGGTTTATTTATCAAAATCTTGCCTCAACTGTTAAAGATCACTCCATTTATAGAGAAAGATTCTAAAGTTATCCGCATCTGATTCCCACACTTATGAAGTCAACAAAAGAAGGAGAGCTTTATTTGGATTTGCTTGTGGTTTCATGATTGTACAATTTTTTCTATTTTTGAAACAAGTTATATTTTTTTTGGGGGGGGGCAGGTTATAAATGTTTAAATAATGGCAGACTGCCAAGTAACCCGCACAATAAACCAGCCCAGACTTGTTCTGTTAACTTAAATAGCACCCACAGCACGTATGGTATTTATAAAACCGGTCACGCCACAATAAAGCATACTGATCAATACACTACCTTTGGACCCTAATATCACAAAGTTGAAAAAAATTGAAAAGGAACAACTACATGTAGAAAAGTTCAGAAACCTTTTGCCTGTTGACAGATCGTAAGATAGTATTTTTAAAAATACTTATCAACCATTATAACTTTGACAATATTTAATCATTTGGCCAGTAAATGATCTTTGCACTCTAAAACTGCACGTAGGCCTTGAAGCCAGAATATTGGGGGGGGGAGGTGATGCAGAGTTTGGGTCAAAGGTCACTTTGCAATCTTTCTGACAGGCATGAGCCAGTGTGTGGTGGAACAGGCAAAAAGCCATTCAGTGCGATCAGGCACACTTTTCAAAACATCTCCACTTGATTGGAGGGACGTCGTTTCTCGGCAACATAGACATGGAATCAAAAGGAAATTGAAACCTTGAAAAAGAATCAAAAAGATGTATGACATGCCTTGTTTGCACTGAACGTGAATCAAAAGAGACTGCATATGCAAGATCTGTTTCTGTTTGATCTTAGAACATGAGTTAACTTTTGATACATGGGAATAACAATGTCTGGCTTGAGTACCTGATGTTTTTGTTGAGATTTTCCCACATCCAAGTCGTAGCTCCAGCGGGGCCGCTTTGCCTCAATTTCTCCAAAGTCACGGATGGCCCTCCTGAGGCTAGCCATGTCAGCTTTGAAGTTGATGGATGTGTCTTCCAGAGGCTCCAAGTTGAGTAGATCCAGTCTGTGCAATTAAAAGGGCAACACTTTGAGTTAAGCTGTTTTCTCCTTCACAACATTTCACATATAAAAGCATTTCCGGGATGCAACTTCTAAAGGCGAATATTTCTATGACATTAAATCTGTTTGAAGAACTTAGATGGCAAGGGATAACACACTTCCCAGTCAACTAATTTTCCATTGCTACACGATGTACTGTACACCGATTAACTGTTGATAAGATATGAGTTTTGCATCAGGGAGATATTATTTTCTACTGGGATTTTTGTCCTCCATCGACATACTCATATATGTAATCCACCATCCCAAAACCAGGCTGAAGTCGATATTTGTGATGTTGGACAATTCCTCTCCTTCAGCTTTTTTTTACACCTCAAAGTGATCCATGTTAAATTGAAATTCTGTGTGCAGTAAGCTTCTTACGGGTAGTGATAGCTGTAAAACTCCCATGAAAATCTGAACAGTGGAAGTTCCATTTTAGGGTCATTAAGTTTCCTACTTCAGCCTGGTTTGTGGATGGTGGGTCACATACTACTGCACACTCATTAGAACATGTCATTAGAATGTAGACCAATTGCTTTACATTTCAAAATGAATATCAGCCTCACCGGGCTAATGCAACGGCCAGCTCTTCATTCAGTGAGTTGTCCTCTCCTTGGCGTTGGGCCAACTCCAAGAGGCGTTGCAGGCCCCCCAGCTCTTGTGTCAGGCCTGCCAGGTGCTCCCGCAGGAGTTGGTCCTGGATGCGCAGGATCAGGTCCACCTGGTCCAGCAGCCAGACCTCCCGGTTCCGCAGCGCTTCCAGCTGGCGTGACAGGGCGGCGTGGATCTCGCTTTTGGCCTACAAGAATCAGGGATTGCGGGTTGGGAATGACATCAAGTGTGATTTAGAAATTGTTTGAAATCCGTCTTTTTAAAATCAGTGTTTTAGAAACACCCTCTAGCAGGAATAAAAGGTCTCACAGTTTTTTCGAAATGAATGTTCCCCAACCGAAAATAACAAGTTGCAAGTCGTCAGAGCCGCTGTTGAATTAAAGGCCTTTCAAAGAATAGCACAGAAAAAAATCTACACAACCTTTCAAGTTTAATACCTACGTCTTTATCACGATGCCAAACTGAGTGATAAAGACTTATGATAAAAAAAACTGCAGTTTGCTCTTTCCAAAACAAAAACTGGCACTCAATTAAAATTATTGAAAAATGGTTTTGAGACTAATTTTTGTGGGTTCTAGTCCTATGGAATCCACTCTCTTCCCCTTTAATTTTTTTTCTTTTGAAAACCCCTATACATAATTTTTTTTCAGTGCACTTTCTTTCACACCTTGCGAAGGGCATCTAGTCAGGCTGAACAAGCTTTTCCCAAACTGCAAACACCGATTCAGTACAACACAAAGAGGGCAAGTCTGGGGCTTTGATTAACCAAGGCCACCTCCTTCACCTGAGATGATTCAAATGCCCCGGGGGAATTTATGCCTTTTCATTACACAACAGGATTTATCAATGCATCTAAGCAGACCACACTTAGCAGTGACAAGGGCAAATGCACTTGGTGTTTATGTGACCTCAGTACAGGTCACGGTAGGATGATTCTGCGTATTTCAGATACACAGAAGACCATTTACTTCATAAATGCATTCTATCGTTTCTCAAAAGGGGGACCAAAAGGGTGAATGCACACCGCACTAGTTCCCCTTAAACTGTATGTACATAGACACTTTACAAACACAGGGATATTTTCATTGCAGATTTTTAGAGAAAGATTTTCTTAGCTCTAGAGCAAAACAATAGAAATCCTACACCAATCAAAACTGTGGAAACAGGTGTTCACATTTGCTGGGGCTTTGCCACTTGTGTGGAACTGACAGAGCTTACATGCACAGGCTAGCAGTAGAAGAGTTCCGGGCGACTTACCCCAAGGGCGCTGCTGTTAAGTTGCTCCTGCTTCTCAGCGATGCTGGCTATGGCATCCTGAATGCACGCCACCTTCCTCTGAACCTGGCCCAAGAGATCTTCGCATCCCTCCGCCATTGCAGCTCAGCGACAACTGAAAAGTCAAACAGGCCCATTGAAAGGTCACCAGTACAACATGGTAGGGCTCACTGATCATCAAATAAATCTGCATATAAAAAGGGTACCTGTGCACTGTACCAACCGGTAGTCATCAACTGAGCGGGTGTAAACACAAGCAAAATCAACAAATTGCACGCAGCAAAAATTCTGATCAACAGGTGAATAGAATTCATCTGTTGTTACTGAGACTGTCTTGATGTAGTTTTGTTGTTCTTGTTCCTATTATTGTAGGGTCTTTGGGTAATAAAACCAAGGATTTCTCAAAAGCACCTCAGGCAATGTAGCTCATAAACCTGAAGATAAGAGATGAAACAATGGGAAGCAGTCACAGTTTTAGAGGTGGGACGGAAACCCCAGAAGAATATTCCGGATGAAACCCACAGAATCAGGTAGGGACTGAAAACCCAATCCACTGTGTAGACCCAGCCAGAAATCAAACCTGAGCCACCGGTGTAAGGTGAAAACCTAGGAGAGAACCACTACGTCAACCTGACCCCCCCCCAAAAAAAATCTGTCTGCAAAGCTCATCAATCTGTTGGTGCAATGGATACTGAACCTTTGTCTACTTTCCGTGTTATTTATGGGCAAAACTCACACAAAAACACTTTCGACTGGAATTGAGCTTGTGAAACAGACATCTAGGAATTGCCCCATGTCTGGGGCCCCATTGATGGGGGCGACAGGTGCTGTCGGGACAACAACAATGGCTTGTTGTTACTTTGTTGATTGGGTCCCGGTCCACGAAGTTTAAATAACGGCCAACGTTCTGGCTAAATGCACATTTATGGAGCTAGCAGTACTGTACTTACTTTAACAGCACTAAATACAATTTTTTTCTTTCTAGTCAACCTCTAGGGGTTACAACCAGAGTTTGTAAGTATTTTGGTGACAACAACAAATGACAGCCCCAACTCTGCTGTGTTACCATTTAGTACACCAGACTTCAAACAATTCAGGCTGGGAATGGCAGCACTACAAACTGCAAACAAAACCCAGGTGGTTCCTTGTTTAACTTTTACCCCACCTCCCTTATTTGCCAACTTGTTTGGCAAAATTACACCCTAAGTTAAAATATTTGCAGGCCTTCTCAAACATGCCTATACGGCAATTATCAGTAACTTCTGATCTCCAAATTTGATATGCGGTCCCAACAAAATGATAATACAGGTTCTGCTGCAAGTCAAATACAAGTAAAACGTAAGCACTGTTGATATATCGATATGGATTTGATATTGATAATGCTGATGTCAATTTTTGGGTAATATTGATTTTTTGAAAATATGGTGTTTTTTGGGAGAAATATCAAAAATATCAAAACTTTGAAAACATCGATATCAAAGATGTCAAAAATATCGCTACTGAGGAACGAACTTTATTGAAAAATACGAAAGTGCATCGTCACATTACCGTAATTTTCGATAAACCACGGCTTACATGGGATTCTCACACTCAATAATTTGTGTACACTTTGCCTCGAAAATATAAAAAAATTTATCCTCCAAAACAGGTAATTATAGGTGCTAACCACACACACGTAGACTAGCACCACATGCTGATGATATCGCTATGCACGGCAGCGTATATCCCATCCCATGTAGGTAACATACGCAATACGGGCGCTAGAACATTTCGCAAAAGTGAATTGGATCGCATCATTACGGTGTAGGGGTGTACCCTTAAAACAATTTACCAGTAATTCATGCCTGTTATAATACCTTGAAAATTAAAATGAATAAAATTTGATATATCGATAATATCAATATTAAAAAACTGATATATCGGTATCAGCCAACATACAATATTGTCGGTGCCTGGTAAAACGTTGCATAAATCATGAACAGGAAAAGTGGCTTCCGAATTGAGGATCAAGCTCAAACTTTTGGCTCTTGTTTAAACTTTACCAGCTGGAACCCTGACTCTCAAAGAAATTTTTTTTCTTTTACCTTGAACTTTTACCACATCAGCTAGAAAGTCTGTTCCATGTTAGTACCATGCCCAGCACAAGACAGAAACCATGGTTTGGCACAATCGAAGTACCGTAATGCTACAACACAAGGATAGTCACATGTCAAACAGGGTTTATCGTCCATCAGTAACCACTGTTACCAAAGGCCCAATATTTACTCAGTTATTTTTCCTGCTGTCACAATTGCAAAAAAAAGGGGGAAAAATGCAGTATTTGGGGGTTTTGGGGGGAAACTCCAATACAACAGTTCCTTCTATGGTTCCATGGTTGCATGTATATTGTCATTGTGAACTCATTTTGATGAGATGGAATTTGGACATTTTTAGTGCATTTTCAGGCAGTAGAGCCATGTGGTCAAGTAACGAATACCTATATGTAGTAACAAACAGCGAATTTAATATCTGTTCAATGTTGGCTGCTTAACAATAACCTATGGCTGGTTCACAGCAAAATACCCTATCTTGTCACTCATAAATCTAGGGGTCGGCAAAATCCACATTTGGTACAATTGGCCGATCTGCGCAACCACTCAACCACTCTTCACAATTAGTAGATTCTGTATAAAAATACCAACTTTATTACCCTTTTTTGAAATAGTCTTTCACAGTCACAAATAAGATTTCAGATATGGTGATTGGCTGACGCCAGAATTATCAACAAATCACAGAATAAGAAATACCAATTGTGCAATGATCAAGTAATTACGCAGAACGACCGATCGCATCCATAAAGACCTTTTTCCTGTGATATCACAATTATGCTGGACTGCGATGTGTTGCGATGGAAATGGTGCATAGTGTTGTGGTGGCAATCTAAGTTAAACTAGTCAAGCATGCATCATTCGTACATGCATTTGTGAGTGGTTAAAGCTGCCTGTAGGAATTATATGCAATCACCCTGGCCGAGGAGGTCCACATGTGGTGGTATTTTCAAGTGGGTGAAAAAGGTCTATGGTATAGGCCCTGCTTCGTTTGACTTTGGTCTGTTTGTCATTTTCTGTACAAGAGTCATGGGAAGAAATATCTGGGGGGGGGGAAAGAAAATAAACTACTACGACAATCATGTGACCTGGTTACAACAAAAACACATCCAACTCTGTGTGTGATGACCGAGTACACGTATCCATGGCGGTCATCAGCCATTCCTCGGTCGAAAACGCGCACGTAGGCGCTAGGCCCACGCCATGCACCGACAACAAAGATAAGGCATGCAAAGATGGGCCTCGACGCAAAACGTGTTTTCTACAGGCCTAACTCTAATCGGCAATGTCATCAATATCACTTTCAAAGCATAAGCAAAGCTGAAGGATGTTCATTATTTTAAAGCCACCATACACCGGAACCACCCGGTTCACAAAAAACTGGGTCAACATCCATCACTAAGCCGGTCATCGTGGTCGAAAATCCAGGGTCACTCAAGTCGGGCCACGACGTACGTGTACAATGTACTGTACATGTACATGTACATGTATAGTACAGTACATGTACGTACATTTCACAGGCGCAGATTGGTGTAGGTAGGCCTATGCCAATTTATTGTCTGTAGGATTTTAGTGATGCACCATTAACCAAACAGAGTTGATCTTTAAATATCAAGCCTTACTTCAGCATAGTTTTCAGTGTCATCGTTGGATTAAATATGGAAAATATGACAGATTTTCTTACCGTCTCACCGTGGCAGGACAGCCGCTTGTATCAACGGATCAAGCCTCCTCGCCTGGCTAGCTGAGCAGCATGAGCTAGCAATAGCTGCGCCGCGCCGGCCGGCCGTAAATTATCTATTCATTATATTCATAGTTGACCTTTTACCGCGCACCTTGGAGACGGTGATTGGTCAAACCAGCACTAGCGCTTTTAATTTTATGAGCAGATGTAGCCATTTCCACATCACTTGCTGCGAAATATGGGAAATGGCTACAGCTATTAGCTCGGTCTCCTAGGTCCTCGTGTCAGTCGCAGCCACAATACTTTTGCTCGTGGCAATCACAATCACGCGGGGGCGGGTGTTGGTCGGTGAAGGTTGCCAATGTATTTCTCCTGGTCGACATTTTTAAATGGCCTTTGACGGTGGGCGGAAATTCCGATGGAGGTCTTTTGCTCTGGCCATTTCCCCTCTGGCCGGGGTCAAGTGACCATGTCCCATCAAAAACAATAATTCAATCAGCTTTTGAAGGGAAAAACGTGTATTTGCATGGTTTTATAGGGCTGCAGAAAGATGTAACAAAAGTAGGCTAACAAACTATTCTGAATATTGTAAACACCAATAAATATCACATCAGAAAGAAAAAAAAAATTCTACAAAGTATTGAAAGTATTGAAACTGCTCTTCTGTTTCTTTTGACCAGTTCACTTTGTCAAAATCAAACAAGTTTTGCAATGGATATGATTTTCTTTGCGTTCATTTATTTACAATAGTTTTTATTTACAACACAGACAACTGATTTAGTTACATTCGCATAAAACTGACTTACAATCACACAATGTGGTCAGTCACTCCTAACATGACTATAATGATACTGTGGGCTATATGCTTGAATTTTTTGCTTTGACGAGTATAATATTCCAACTTGACATCTGACTACATGTACAATGTCCCTCGAAGAGCAACTATTCTTCATGTTATTTACCATGATCTTTATGCAAAATTCAATCAGATTCATTGTGATTTACACTTGGCTTTGAAAGTTTGGGCTACACGAGCAAAACAGTTTCTGAAAAGTTTTCGCCTCCCTCAAAACATTTGGCTGGGACCACACCTGTTTGCCTGAACAAACTGCAGTTCTGAAAAGTTTTCAAAACAGTCTTGTAAAATTAACACTGACCCCATGTAGAATTTCAGGTTAAACTTATAACTATGATCATCCAGAATGCACATTTTGTGAACGAATTCCACGTTAGAATAAAGTAAATTTTATTAAGGGAATAACAATGTGCTTGGCCGGTCTTAAACGTTGGTTTCAGCACATATTTTTTCATATTCATAAATACCCTTTTAGTCAGAGAGACAAAAGAAGTCAATATATGATGGATATCCAATGACTTTGTTCCAGAATTCTACTTGTATTTTCTGAACACCCTGTCCATTTTATGGTATATTCCTTGTGCAAGTTGCTAAAAAAGAATCTCCTTAAATGGACTTAGCACGCATGTGGTGAGCTGTGTGCAGACAGACTGTTTACTAATCAGAATTGATTAACTGTCTCGTGTCCAGTTGCTGGCGCATTATTTACGCAGCGGGCATTATCAAAATGTTAATACATGGTCAAGTTGCACATTGTTGAATAGGGAGACTGAGATATTTATGAATATTAAATATAAAAATAGCAGTGGGTCACATGACACATCACATTACCTTCCATATTTTTCTCCATCCTCCACAAAGTAATTCTGATTATAACCCATATATTTCAATCACAAATAAATGGTGTAAGGAGTTATTTCTTCATGCATATCAACACACTTGATGTGTTGGAATTTTTCAGGAATTCTTGTCCTGTCCTTTGAGTTGGCAAGGTTAACTTGTAGTAATCATGTCCCTGGGTCGTGTAGCATACCTACGTTGAGAAATCACCTCATCTTTTCTCTAGGTGTTTAAATTTAGCTTCTGTGGAAGGGAAGAAATGAAAAAGAACGCGCATTGCACATCAATTATAGAATGCTGTGGTATAACATATATAAAATCCAATTTACGTTCTTCTTGCCCAGAACATGGCTGACTTCACACCTTCACAGACGATTGCTACCTTTAGTAAGGATGTCTGATTGCCAGAGTTGTTGACTACAATTACTGACCAGACCCAAGTTGCAACTCTTCTGACCAGAGACTTGATTTGACTCAGGGAAAAAAAGACTTAAAAGACCTTGACTCGATTGGAACACATGTGATCTGACAGCCAAGGTTTGTTGAAATAAATATTGTGCGAGAGAAATGTACTTGCATCTGTGATTTTCAATGTGCAAGACCCAAAATTGACGAACTTCATCATGCTGATGTTTTGTCACAAGAAATATTAGCCAATTGAGATACAAAATAAAGCAGATAGGCCAAACAGTGAACCTGCTTTGCAAAACATCATCCACGTTGGTCAAACCATCAATGTTAAAAGAATGTCAGAAAAGTATGCAAAAGCAATGTAAGACAGGCTTGCAAAAATGACTTGGGACTTGACGCGAGAAAATTGGACTTGACCTTGGAAAATGATTCGGTGATGACTTGACTAGTAAAAAAAAAGGATGAGTGACTTGACAGCAGAAAAATGACTTAGATACAACACTGGTGGTCCTAAACGTTTGACAACCTAAAGTTTCGAAGTGCCACCTTTGCAGCAATTTCATGTTATTTGGATCCCAGACTTTACCTAGTCTTCTGGCATAGGCGTCCAATCTCAGCGCAGCCTGCTCCAGACTCAGCACACTCTCTTCAATTTGGTCCACCTGGGCCAAGTAGGGTTCCAGGTTCTTGTCTGAAGGAGGAAAAGGTGTTGAAACAGTCCAAAAACTTTGTCAATTGTTAATTCACTTTGTATGACTTAACTCAACCAATCTGTATCCATTTCAACATCATGATAAAAAATCTGAAGTATTTAAATATAATACACGAACATGCATGGATTCACAAAAAGGTATGTGGTTATTAAAAGTACTACTTCTGAATGGAAAAGTACTCCACATATTAATAGCACTTAAAATCAGGAAGAGTAAAATTTTGGTTATGGACAAATCTGGCAACCATGGTAACACGGTCACTGGTCATTTTGTAGTGGCCCCTACCAATGAAGGTAAGCACTGTGATAACTACTGTACGAAGCCACTGTTCTGTGACAGCTGCCGTGTACAAAAACCCAACACAATGCTTTCTGCCATTGATGGGGGCCATCGGAATGTCAAGTGAACCGTTGCTATGATTCGTCTACAGGAGGTTCTTACACTTCTCATCTAGGTTCTTCATGTCTCGTTCAATCGCAACAGCCATCTGTTTCATGTCCTCGTACTTCTTGGAGGTCAACCTATTCATGTCTTCGAGGAGTTTGTAGTCTTCTGCAGTTGCTATTAATAAAAAAATAAGTTCCGTCCCACATACATGGGGGTAAGTATAACAAGCAGTGATCATCCACACAGCCAAGCAAAAAAAGGAACATGTTCATGGTACCAGCCTGCACGGTATTTGGAAACCTTTTGATGTTGGGAAAAGTTTCTCAGAGGTTTCCAAACTGCTTAATATTCAAGGGTACTTGAAGGTGATTAGCCATCTGTCCACCTGTCCAGAGGACCGGCAAAGATTATTCAGGACAGGCAGTTTTTGCTTGTATGAAATTTACAAACCCCAATTTATTCCACAAATCTTTTAAACCTAAGAAAAAAAAATCTTTATGTTTTCATCCACAGCATTAGTTACAATGGAAACATGGGCTCAGATAGCACACAGGGGTACCACTTTTTATAAATTTTGCTGGGAGTGGACAGGTGGTTAACACTGCTAAGGAAAGGATGGCAGATATTTTAAATCCTGGATGAAACCCTGCGTTTAGCCACGTGACTCTGTCTTAGAATGGACAGCAACGCCAACTGAGTCACAGGCCTGGCGCATTCTGAACCAACCATAATAGCATCAACTGTGAATCATGTATTGCTGGTTCTTAGCTTAGATTTCCCAATGATTCCGAATACCCACCAGCAAGATCTCCTCTGATGTAGGCTGTCATCTTGGTGAACATGTCCCGTGTCAGCTCGGCAATGTCGTGGTCTGGCTCCATCGCTTCTGTCCCTGTCTCCACACCGACTTCGGAACTTTCTACTGAAGTATAATTGAATGAAAACTGGAGAGGGTAAAAAAACAATCAGCATTGATTTTGCACAGACTGAAGGTTTGGTATTTAGCCTAGTTGATTATGGCATGTTGGGAATATGTACAGAACATATGGTGTACATGTACAAATGTAGTTATTTCAGCTTTCATACACGGACATCTCTAACCTTTCCCTGCACTAACACAACACCCTACCAAGTGATAACTGATAACGTGTCTTAATAGTCAAATTTGGTGGGGAAAATATTGAAGCATTTAATTTAGAAACACTTTGAATTTTTCAGACCAGAGCATTTATGCACATGATGCACAAAGTGGAGTCTAGCTACGTGTATGGAGCTCCTAAATGTTGCTTGTTTTGTCCTTTGACATGTTTGAAAAAGCCACTGCAAAATGCTCGTAAGGCTGGAAACAAGTTATTCTCTTGACGACAGGGAGCATGTGCTACCCAACCACACGGGACTGGACACACCTCCCCCTGTGGCGCACAATTAGGCATCATTCATGTCGTCACGGATCACATCTGCTCTTTCTGCGCCGACTTTTTGATCAGTATTTACGCCGTTTACACACGTACATGTGTATTTCACCATGGCCTTGCTGATTCCAACCTAGAGCCACAAATACGGCTGTAGTAGCTCTCTTTCACAATCTGTCTCTTGTGTGGTGGCGTCAGATAAGAGACAGAGATTAAAAGAGAGCCACTACAGCCTTAGTATTTGTGGGCCTAGCCTAATCCCAACACACCCTCTATCTACATGTACATGTACATCATTAGGCCCTTCATCAGTTCATGTATATACTACCTCTCCTGAGCTTTTTCTCCGCATCACCAGCAGCCTCTGAATCAGTGGTGTTATCAGCCTTTTCCATTTCCAAGCTTTTTTTATACAAATTATTAGTTAGCTGGATTAAATTTTTTTGGAACAGCAAGGGTTCTAAAAGTAAACTACAACTCGTGCGGGTAGGAAGACGCTTTCATTTGTGTGGATCTTGTTAATATTGCAGCGAATGAGCTGATAGAGCGCCCTCAATAGGTGCATGTGGCACAGGAGTTGGTGTAGTATGACAAATTGACTTGTGTTGTGAGGATACCACATTGTGATATCCACGCACCAGGCTAGACGTGTACGGATTTTGTACACAAAACATGCTGTATGATTGTGCAATTTTGTGTGTTTTTCCTCCATGGTTTTTGTAACTTCTGATTTTTTTTACGCTTGTGTAGCGTTTGTCAGAAGTGTGTACTTCTCAAGCTGAAACGAAAAACGAAAAGAAAAAATAGGCATAAAAATGACTTCCTATTTTGATGAACATGACTGTGAGGAAACCAATGGTTCCGGCCCAGATGCCAATACGCTTTTACGATGGGCAAGGTGAGGTCAGAACTTATATTTGCTGCATATTGTTAAATTAATCCTCTTATTGAAATAAAAATTGTAGTTTAGGGGATGAGAAGAACCGCTTACTGCTATTGTATTGGGCCGTTAACTTTTACCCCAACTGCCCGTAGATTAATAAGGTTCTTTGTCCCCTTTGAGTGAAGCGTACAATCAACCCAATTATTCTAGAGGTAGTGAAAATGATATAGCTTTTTTATTTGGGATTTTGTGGAAATATTTACCTGCACATGTTTAGAATGTTTAGATTGAGCTTGGACATGTTGATTAGTTTACTGGAACACAGAGTTTCAGAAAGCTTTTCAGCCTGTAGCTCAATTTATTAACAAAATTTGCCTCAAACCATAGGATGGTATTCACATCTGCCAACTGAGGACTGGAACACCTTTGTCTTTTTTGCAGGTTATTGAGGAATGACATTCAGGCTTTTGTAGCTAGTTTTGATGGGTAAGTTCAACCTGGTATCTTGTTAATCTTCAAAATTAACTTTTGATAATTTTGTAACACTCTGGCTAATTTCCAAAAAAGAAAAGACAGGCAGCTTCAAATGAAGCTTCCAGTAACTTTTGAAAATTAAAATAAATTTTTACAATCCTTTGGAGTCATAATTCCTTAATTAATTCAACTCCCTAGGAAGAGTGTATTTTACCAAAAAAGAAGAACCTCATGTTTGCTTTTTTTTTACATTTATGAAGACAAATGTTCCTCTATGAGCAGTCGAAATTTTGAAATTGGGAAATGTTTGAAATCAGATTCAGGCATTGTTGTGATTGATTTGTCACAGGCGTGACATTTTTGATGAGGAGAGAACACGCCCCCCTGCCTCCAAGGACGTAGTGGCCAAGTTACCGGACAAGGTAGTTGGTAGATACGAAGGTCAGTCTTCACTTTCAGTTATGTTGCAGAGCATTCGCAAATCGTATGTATGCGAGCTGAAATCTTTAAAGCTGAAATAAATTAGGAGTGAATTCCTCAAATTTACTATCCACTCCAAGTGGGGACAAAAGAGGGCATGTTTTTTAAATGAAATCGTCATTCCTTTGGTACGCACTCACTGCATAGGCACGCAAGTTTATGCACCTTTGGCAGGGGGGCATGCTGAGTGCACGCAACAAATTTACTCTTGTATGGTCTTGGTGCACATGCCAAACGCGTGCAAGAATTCGGTTGGAAAACTTTGCACCAGTTTGTTGTCCTTTTGCCAGTGAGGGTGCACTTTAACTGGGGGTGGATAGACTAATCCGATTAGACTGTATGACTGCAGTGCTGTTGTACACATTCCTTTATTCTTCAGCTTGACGCACACATACATTTGGCAAATTGCGACACCCTATTGGTCGACGAGGCATGTAGCGCCCGCGTACGACATGTCCACGAGTATTTTGCCACCGCAGTAACAGCTTCTAATTGTGGTTATCGAATGACACTAAAGAGGGAAGTCATTTCAAGTTATTTAGTCCTGTCCGTTGTAACTGAACTGTTATCCCAAGGGGCCCGGGGGGAGGAGAAGACAATGAAGAAATGTTCAGTTGTGGGAGAAACACTGGGGATGAATACTCAAGGGAAAACCCACAGAATCAGGCATAGACTGAAAACCCAATCCATATGTCTGTCTGGGGGGGATTCGAACCCGAGTCACAGAGGATGAAGGTCACAAGAGTACAACTATGCCGACTTGACTCTCCAAGACGCCAAGTGTATTGTTGAACTTTTGTTTTTGTTGTCTTCTCAGATTCGAGATGCCCCGTCTGTCTAGTTGGGTACGGTTTGGGAGAAACATGCAAACAGCTCCCCTGTAAGCACAATTTCCATCCCGGCTGCATTTTACCCTGGCTGGCCAAGACCAACACTTGTCCTGTCTGCCGTCACGAGTTGCCGACCGACGACGAGGAGTATGAGGAATTCCGAAGAGAGAAGGTCAGCGCTGTACGAAAATTGACATTTGAAAGCTATCCTGAAAACTTCCAAAATCCGTTGGTCATAGGCTGGCCCCTCTGAGCAGAGGTGCCAAGTTTGCTCAGTTGACTAAAGAATTTGGTGTTGGCATTAGAAGGATTAAGGCATCTTATGAACTGAATCCCACAAACCAAGAAAAGACCCCAACTTCTCCAGCTTGCCAGTTTTCTACGAACAAAACTTTAATGTCTGCAAATTGACAATTCATCTGAAGCTCTCACAAATAGCCAAATATGACAAAAGTAACAAATCTTAAGTTTGTGTGAATTTTGCCTGGTATAGATGTCTGCAGCTTGAAGTTAAACAATAATCTAACCTCCAAAATTTTTCTCAAGCAAGTGACTACTAAATCAATACCAATAAATATTAACATTTACGTCTTGTTTCTGTCGGTTTCCTTCCAGGCAAGAGCCCAACAGCGAGCCTTTGAGAGAGAATCCCTCCACAGCGCTATGTTCACTTGATCACGACAACTTCAGAGGTGCTCCGATGCATGGCAAATTTGTAAAACCACAGACGTTAAGAACTTTTATTTGACGTTAAGGATAATACAAAAGTAGTTTGTTTTTAACTTTGCCCCAACTTAGGAATAATTGAGAAACATGATTTGTCATTTTACATAGTGCCAGGCAAAGGCATAAATAGGGTGTAATGTCTGGGGGACATGGGGTGCACAATGTAGGCACAAATTGGGGGGGATGTATACCCCATTTTTATGTGGAGGATGGTATATTGAATCCCCCCCACTTTCTCATGGTGAGAAACAAATTAAGATGGATTGCGAAGAATTTTTTGGACTTGCCAAAAATGTATTCAATAGCACTAACAATGGAGAACAATTAATAGAAGTCATACATACGCTGTTTTGATGTAAGGTTCAAAAGCAGTGTAAAATACGTTGCAGATGTACACCCATACAGAGTTGTGTCAAAGAGTAATGCCAGCTTCGGATATCGGAACCAAAATGGCTTTGCAGTACGCATAATCCACCATTCAGGTTTTAACTCTCGAGACACTTATGTTGCAACTCTCTCTATAAACTGCTCGGCATCTGTATCATGAACATCGCCCTCTACATTGACTGGAGCATCAGTATTCCCCCTCCCACTCTCTAAATTTCTGTCGCTGGGCAAGTCACAGTTTTTCAGGGAGGTAGGAAAAGCCCATGAACCGCTTGAACCGATGAATTCTACATCGGTTGTGTACATCCTCATGTACATTGTGATTCTCATGCAAAGGTTCTCAAAGCCAAATCAGGAAATCAGTTGAAGATTCTCTTATTCTAGCACAGATACTTTAAAGCAGGAAAAATACTTCACAAAGACAAGTTTTTTTCTTAACGCAAAAACACTTCAAAGAATGAAGGCATTAGAGGTTTGTCTCATCATATGCAAGCTCTCTGTTTGCACGGTTTCACCTCAATTTCTCAAAAAAAGTTGGTCATTGTATTCAATCGACCAGCTAGAATACTGTAACATTACATCACCATGTTCAAAATTAGTAACTAAATCCTTGTTACCAATTAAAATATGATGTGAACTAAGTGACCAATGTCAATTTATTACAAAAGTGTTACCCCTTCATTTCAAAGAGATATCTTTTCTTGATAACAGTCCTTGTGTGGGTGCATTACCTTCAGCCCCCACATTCCGAGGAACTCGACAAAGTTTTATCAGAGGCTTATAAAATGCCAGTCCTCACTGTGGCAAGACTTAACTGATAAAAAAAGTTGAAATGGGATACGGAGGTCCACAGACAGGGACTGTATTATATGGGCCATTGAAGGATTTGAGAATCTGACGTCGGGTTTCTTCCTCGATGGGAGATTGGGGAGAAATTGGTTAGGCTTCCGGCAAAAGTTAATACCTTTGGGGTTAGGGTTTAGCGTTGCACTGACTAATCATTTCGGTCAGAAAGCTAGACGCCCACGCATGGGCACTGAGCTCTGTACTGTCTGGGTGCTTCGAAGGCTGGACGCCCGCGGGCTCGGGCGGCCACTCGCTAGGCGTCTGTTACGCACCACTGATTTTGTGACTTCAAATGCCAGTCAGTAGGCTTTTGAATCATGACCATCACAGGCCACTTCGTGGGGACCAGATTTTGTATATTTACACCACTGATGTCTTGGTAGAAAGTTCTTTATCTTTAACTCATGAGTGACTTAGTTTTCACTCGAAAATTAATAGATATTTGTGGAGCGTCATGCGCCATCTCTGTAAGCCTGACAAAGTCATTTGTTCGTGCGTGTCGAGGGGAGCGCGAGCTGTCTTATCAGTGTAGAGATCAGTGATGGGGGGGGGGCACAGTAACAGGTGTGCCCACGCGGTGTTATTTTCATTGACAATTTTCTTACAGATGTCAGTGTCACGTCTGACCGTGTTTTGCTGTAGACTGACCTGGGGCATCACGGGCACGTGATAGGCATTTTCCGTCTCAGGATGCCGTCATTACATGGCATCCTGGATACGATGTTGATGATTGCCCGTCTCCAAGAAGCACACTGTTCCCGGCGGGCCTGGCCAACCTGCGTGATGAGAGCGACTAACACCTGGGCCTGTTCACGGTATGACCTTTATCCTGGCCGTGGGTGGGAAAATTTTGGAAAAGTCAGGACGTTAGAAATCGTTTTCAGACTTCTTTGGGATGAGTAATACATGGATTTGGGATACGTTGGCTGTCAATATGGAACTTATTCTGTCCTAAAAGCAAGAAATCTGTAATGATTATTCATACAATGTATTTGCATTGCGTGACCTCATGAAACGTACTTCAGTGTCCTTGTGTAACAAAACAGCTGAAGTTGATGAAAATGAGTTAATTTATATTCAAGTGTTAAATTCTATATATGGGCAATTCTCCATGGGAGTGGAAAAAATGTCAAAAATAAAATTTACATATTGAACCTATTTTGTACTTTTTCCAGACCTCAATTAAATGGGGAATTCAGTTCTAAAAACGTAATTGAAAAAAATATACATTTCTAGTGAAAACGGTGTTTTTTGCAATTGATGATTAGAACTGTTCAGATTTGTTAAAAAAATAAAATTTTGTGTATGTATTATATTCTATACTACAGGGAAAATTTTTGATTAATTTATGATTTTACAAGTTATTACATTACTCAGGGTCATTTAAAAATCTACATATATATCAATATTTAATTGGTGTAGGCCTTCATTTAAAAATGTCGAAAAAAGCACGTAATTCCGTTGCCGAAAAAATGGCAGAAGTTACGTATTTCACAAATGTTCTTGTCTTTTTCCTTCTAATCATATATATTTAGAAAAAACCTGTTATAAATATAACTGAAAAGTAAAAACTTTACAATAGTAATCTATTGGCATTTTTCAAAGTGGTAACGGAATTACAAAACGGTAACGGAATTATGGTAACGGAATGACGCATGCACAAAGCACGCACATTTCATCCATATAAATGTACATGACATATCGAATTGCATGTAACCTTGGACAATATCTATAAATACAAAAATTACTTAGTAACATTATTTCCAACTTTAATTTGCTCTAATATATTTAAAAATAATCAGGTGTCCCACTAATATTTACATTTCCTAGATTTGTAAAAAAATTGTAAAAGCTTAAGGCAAATTAAGCAAGGCATACATGTAGCTTTGGGCCGTGAGTATAAGCCTACATGTATGCTCAGCCCTAGCCCAGGTTGGACGTCTGTCTACATTACATAGACGCGTAACTCATGCTTAACTCGTTAGTGGAGGTCTTTCCTTAAGCCATACAGTTAATAGCAAACTTCTATGGCTATTATAACTCTTTGCAGTTTATACATAATCTGATAATAATGAAATTTTATTCATTAATGAAAATTCTCAATTCAGTCACTTTGGTTACATACTAAGAAAAAAAAACTATTTGCGCTCCAAAAATACTCTTGTTATTCTTTGCAATCTCTGACTGCTGACCCGCTTGAAATTTGTGGGAGTTAAAAAAGTGTTGTTTAAAAATGATAAAATGTTGTTTTCTGTATAAATTCTTCAGCAAATAAATTACATCTTTTATGACCATTGTTACCTTTCGGAACACTACAATAGATCAATCCATTAAGCCCGCCCTTAATGTGTTGACCAATCACTGCCTTTGCTGCGTGTATGCCACCACAGGGAAGCCACGATAATCCCCAATCACAGTGGTGAGTAGGCAATCCTGACATTTGTCAATGTAAGGGGGTTGGGCTTAGTGGATTTGGTCTATTAATTACGCAAATTCCAAAACCAGCTAACCGACAGTGTAGACATCACCATGCTGCTTTTATTTGTCCCTGACCTTCACCTTTGAGCTAAAATGAAGCCCAGATATGTTTAGACCTGTTATTTTTCACCAAGTTTTCCCTTTGTGCCACTTTATAAATGCCTACAATTTGTGTTGTGATGCATTTATGTTGCATTCAATGTTAATGTATTGCCTTTGCATATTAAACCTATGGCGTAATTCCGTTACCGCCCAGGCGTAATTCCGTTACCGCCCAGGCATAATTCCGTTACCGTGATTAAAATGCAAATTATGGAAAGAGTGATAATTTTTGCAACTTTGTTCTGCATTGTGGTTAACAACCCCTTGAACTCAACAAATAACAGACAGTGTCCAAATTTAATATTTCAAAACTTTAGAGAGTTTTATTAATTTATGCCAGAACTCAAATAGGCCTATGTTTGTCCGCCGATCGTAATTCCGTTCCGCTCTGCCCTTGAAAGGGTATTCTTTGAGATTTTGTTTTGGTGGTCAATCAATTCTATTGGGCCTGGGCGCCCTTTCCACGTTTAGATTATTTGCTTGGCACTGAACATATTTCCTTGGGAAAGAATAATCCTTGACAAAGTGACAAATTTGCGTAATTCCGTTCCCAAAGAATTGCCCATATGTATGTAAGCGGGCTAAGAGGTTTCCAATCCCTGTTGGAAAATATTGTCTTGTATGAACTAGGACGAGTGAAATGATGGGCCAATCGATTCACGGAGACCTTTTTTAGTCTAATATAAGGTATAAAAATCGTAGCGCTCATTGGAAATAAAAGACTTTAAAATTTGCTTAATGTATACAGCTAACATTGATTGGTTTTCAAATAGATGTGTTGCCGAATGTTCCTTGGCTGTTTTCCAATTTGGAACAGGCCTCGGTAAAGACTTTACAATATGCTTAATGTTTACTGCTAATAGATTGATTTGTTTCCAAAATTTTACTTGACTCTTTTCCAAGCCTCAGTGACTTGGGCAAGCGTACCAAAGGAACAAATGACAACCATAAAACATATAATTGACTTGGTAAACGCATAAACAGAAAACAACTTCGAGTAAATACAAATATGAGCCAAACAGACCATGGTCACATCCTCAAAACACCCGTAATATTGGCACTGACTGCCGCTGAAAGGCAAAACAAAATTGTCTATTCACTTCCGTGATTTCAGATGATTGAACTCTCTGCAAATAGACCGTATAAATCCAAGCAAAGGTGGCGAAAATCATAGTCTGGAATGTCCATGAACGAAAAAGTATCAGTTAACTTGCACTAATGAGATTGAAAATTTTCAGGTCTTCACGAGATGAAAATGGAAAAACATAGGCCTACTTCGATTCTGTCGAAATAGTTCCCAAAGAATGCCAAAACATCTGATTGAAACTGAACGCTTTCCTTTGGCAATAAACCGAGAAAGTCCACATTATTCACCATTTTGGATGAAATATACAGGTGTTTTTCCGTACAAGTAGAACGGGCAGGTGTTATCTGCTACAGGAGCGCCGCGTCCGCATTCTTATTAACAGCAGAGTTTTCTGAAACCTGTTTACTCGGGGTGGGGCCTAAAAGACCGTGCTCACGTACAGGAATATAGCTGTTTTTGCGCTGCACTGAACAAACAGTCATTGTGTACTTTATTCTGTACTTCGAGTTTTGTCAAAACTGCTCTATCTCGAATTTTTAGTCACAAATTCTTGAATTCTTGGCGTGTTTCGACTTGGCTCTGACAAATCTATGATTCATTTCCCGTCTGAGAAGCAGCACGCGTGTATTTTTCGTTTCCCTCTTTTCCCGAGCCCCTTGTTGTTCATATTTTGTACATTGATCTTCCTTCAAAAAAAAAAAAGGGAGGGGTTTTTGCAAAGGCGGACTCAACCCAATCTTTTGGCCAGACAGACTTGATAATGCGCGCTGCCATGCGAGCGTCAGCCATCTACTTAACATACTTCCTGCAATAATTGGCAAATCTTGTTACTTGCAGCAAGATCCTTCGGTGTCAGCCCGCCTTGTCTCGCTGTTTTTTGGAGAGGCTACTGTTGGACCTTAATAGGGGATTTCCTACTTTTAGAAACGCACAGTCACGTTTACAGGAAAGGGTGTGGGAAAGTGGCGATTGTTTCAGTGAATTATTGTTAATTTCACACCGAGGATTTCTGTGATATTCATTTGTCATGTGCTTATTTAGCCATTACCCATTGGGTGTGCAAAAAACTGTACGTAATGACATAAAGAGTATCAACGATTTGTTGTTAATATTGTTGTTGTTGTTGATGTTGTTGTTGTTGTTAGTATTGTGGTTTGTTGTTGTTGTTAATGTTGTCGATCGTTATTTTTGTTCGTCGTTGTTAATGTTGTCGTTGTTTTTTGGTTTTGTTAATGTTGTTAACGTTGTCATTGTTCGTTGTAGTTGTTTATGTTGTTGTTCGTTTTTGTTGTTAATGTTGTTCTTAATGTTATCATTTGTTGCTGTTAATGTTGTTGTTCGTTGTTGTTATTATTGTTCAAGTAAATAAGAGGAAGGCTAACTTTTTTCGTTTGGCTCTTCCTCTTCAAAGCGGGTCAAAAGCACCCTAGACTTACCATCATCCCTAATAGACTGGCCAAAAAGGTTACCGTATGTATATAAACTCTCTGTTTTTCGCTCCCGAACATTCCATCCTTGTTAAGGCTGGGTGCTAAATAGTTCAAACCATTGTTCAGCAGTGCTATTAAAGCATGTAACACTTTAATACAAGTACTGCATTCTTTGAAATACACCATCAAATAACGAAAGAAGACGCCGATTGTTTTGTATCGATTATCTCCTGAAATGATTTCTGACACTAAATTTGGCCAGCTCACACTTCTTACGCGTGCGATATCGAGGTATATTTAACCATGAAATGCGAGTCAAAATAAGTTCAACTTATCTGTAGCGCAAAACTTCGATCTGATGACACAAATCGCGTGTGCATTCGCTTCCGCGCCAAAAGGAAACCGTCGATATGTCTTTGGGTGCCAAGTTTTCGTGTTTATGCTTGCTTCTTTGTTGCTTTGTTTGTATGTTTATTTACTGATTGCGCATAATGCTAGCATTATCATATCCTGCAAAACCTTGAACTCACAACACGTCACGAAAGAACGTGACGTCTTGACGCTTTATATGGTCAAGACAATGAAGGCAGTTCTGGCAAAGTGAAGACCTGTGAAAGTTTTGCTTCCGTGTCACAGAGCTCTGTGACTCAGACGTTTGACGTGACTCACGCAGTGAGACGTACCTAGATTAACCGCTCCCTTCTCAGACCCAACATTCTCCTTCAAGAGTCCGTGCAGTTCTCAGGCGTTCTTGACACCGTCCCCACACCGAGTTTTTCTGGCGGATTTTTTCTCCCCCCAGAATAACGAAAATGACGAAGTTCAGCTGGCTTCTTAGGACGGGCCTGTTGCTGGCGCTCCTTGGGACGCTTCGTGCCCAAGATCCGCTGTTTGCCACCGAGACCGGCTACGATTTGTCCTTCCAGCGGAATGAGCTCAACCAGCGCACCCTGTCCTGGCGGGACCTTGCCCGGGCCACGGGCGGCTCGCCTCCCGAAGGGCTGCAGAACTGCCAGCCGGCTGGCTCTTACGTCGTCTATCGCGCGGGCACTAGCTTCCCGGCCGAGGCGGACATCGGTGCGCTTAGCGCCTTGCAGGCCAAGATGCGCCGGCAGACCGTCAACCCGTCGTTCCGGTTCCTCTCGCAGCTGTCCACCAGCCGTATCCCGCGGACCAGCGCCGGCGACCTCGCTGAGTCCGGCCGGCGGGAGCTGCAGGAGCTGGCCTCCCGCATCAAGGTCCGCTTCCAGGAGTTCTTCCAGAACCCGGACGTCGACCTGGGCAGGTTTAGCTTTCAGTCCACCAACGCGTCCAAAAGCATCGACAGCGCCGTGGCGTTCGTCCGGGGTCTGGTCGGCCTGAACCAGATCTGCGAGACCCTGTCGTCCGAGGGCAACGTCACCGTGACCTGCTCAGAGAACAGCCGGCAGTCGCCGCGAATCGTCACCCCGACCTCCGCCTACATCCCCCACGATCCCGCCAATATGGACCCCCTACTTCGCCCTTACAACACCCGAAGGCGATGCCTCGATACCGTCAACAAGGGCAAGACGGCCAGGGAGGTCAGGAACTTTCAAAGAAGCAGAGAGGCAATGCAGCTCAAAGACCGCGTCGCTAAGAGACTCTCCGTACCTGGGGCTCAACAGCTGTGGAACATCACGACAGGTAAGACCAGAAATTGTACAAGACACAAGTCAAATCACATGTTAGTCACTAGTGGCGTAACTAGTAAGAGGGGAACGGACTTCCCCGTCCCAGCGCTCCCGCCCCGCTCAAGGAAAAAATCAGGGATTGGTCAGTGTTTCAATTGTGACCAAACCCATGGAATGACCAACCCCTCCCGGAAAACAAGTTTTCCCCTGCAAAATGTACTCCAGTTATGCCACTGCCGGTCACAGGTATGGCAGAACGTGAACGATGACAAAAGAATGTTTCTGTCACAGTTAATTTTGAAAAACCAAATATACTTTTAAAAACAACAACAACAACAACAACAACAACAACAACAACAACAACAACAACAACAACAACAACAACAACAACAACAACAACAACAACAACAACAACAACAACAACAACAA